ATCAATAAAAACAGGCTTTCAATGTACCTTCAATGAATACTTGTCTTCATCTTTTCTCTCATTTCAAGGGTTTATCCTCATTGTTTTCACAGAGAGAATGCAGTCATCGAGAATTTTCCGCTATACGGCTACTAAACAATAAGTCTTAAAGTACGGTTAATTTATCGCGGGTCCACGATCTATGGATCCAGACGCGATGGTCAGATCCAGACCAACGGAGATATTTCGACAGAAATTGAAATGCAAGAACGCTAATTGCTATACTTTGTTGCCGACTTCTGGGTTGCTCGTAACTAGCTCGGATTTATTATTATTGTCGAATAATTAATTTACTCAAACATTTTAACTAACTTTTTTTATTGTCCTCGCATATATCTAAATATCATTATTAATATTATTATGTATATTTGAAATAATAATAAAATCATTTTAAAAAGTATTCACGCAACTGTTCATTTCGTCGAAAATTCCATTATATTGAAGATATAATGAAAATTTCTTTCTGTTGATTATGCACTGCACGATAAAAAGTCAATTTTTACCACTTTTTGCAGTAAACAAAATATACTTAAAAAAACAATGATTGCATAACTCTCAACAGCTCAAACAAATGAATATTCATCTCATTTCAATCATAAAAAGTTGAATGTTTATCGATGTTTGACATGAAATCAAAGTACAATGATTAGCGAGTTGAGTGTCGTGTTTGAATTTGGTACATGGGTGAGTATCGGTTAATTCAATAGCTCTAGACAACTGGTTTTTTTTCAAACTTTGCACACTAATGGCATATGTCGTCATTACAATTTCGCAGCTACCAAGTCACGATCAACACCATACGTGCATATCTTATCAGTGTAATGTAGACACCTATCTTAGCTTATCTCCAAACGCAGACGCACGATGACACTTGCAAATATCAAACTCGAGAAGAATTACCGTTCGACAACACAGTGACGCGCGACCAACTGCGATCAGCCTCGAGTCGACACTCGCGAGTGTTACTGTAACAATAAAATGGCAATCACCGTACAATTAGACGTAAAAAGTCAAAAGAAAGAAATGGCCTCCACTACGCAGCATCCTGTTATGGATCCGTGCGATTCAAAATTGACAGTGTTTGAACGAAAAGTAACTCGCGAAAAAGGAACGGATCTCAAAGCTTTCGAAGTCTTTCTCGGGTCGTTGGATTCCACGTTGAATTGTTTCCTCTTGATTTTCATCATTATTTTCACAATTGGAGTTGGTTATTATATCGTTGCAGCTTACTATTGTGAGACGAGCATCAAGTAATCGCATTGATCACATGAGAACGGAAATCAGTGTTTTACGTAACTATCGAAACTTGAAAATTTTCTTTTGAGTGCGTGAACGTGACTTTTAATGGGCTCAGACGAAATATATTCATTTATATGTATACGTAGTTTCTTCTTATTAGATTGAACTTTTTAATGAAAAAATGTATCTAATGTACTTAATTTACCGATAATGTATTATTTTACTCATTGTTTTTCAATAAATTACTACTTGAAATTATAGTTATAACATTTAAATTTTACAATTGTCCTTGCTATTGTTACTAAGTTCATTCTGAACGCTGCAGGGATACACTAGAATTTGATCTTGGTTCCCTATGGTCATGAAGAAAATTATATTATTATAATTTTTTGTTAAATGCGATCTTCTATATCACGTATGTTAGATTCAAATGAATCTTTGCTTGCTAAAAAGAGTAAGCTTTGAAGGCATATAGGTATGAACTGCGCAATGTCATTACTAAGAATGATAAGAAAAATAAAATTTCACTTTTTTATGAATTCACTTACTGATGTATCACATATATACATTGTTAAAAAGAAAATATAAGAAAATTAAGAAAAAGTAGCATTCTTTCAACTAACATGAGATGTAAGGAAAATGAGAAAAAATATAGTATTAATTGAAATTGACGCATGATTAAAAATAAATAACATTAACAATCTACACTTCTACATTATTTTATTATTAATATGCTTTTTTAAACAGAATATTAGTAATATCGTAAGAAGTAGTCGTTGAATTTTTAAAATAATATAATAATTTTTGAAAAACATTGTAACTGTATGTCAGCCTATTATATTAACTTGATTAACGATTATCGAGATGTTTGTGACAGCAACTCATAACCGAATACAGTGACATTAAACTTCTGGCAAGGGTACTATAATCAAACTCAAATGACCGCTTTATTATGTATTACGGCTGTGAAAAATCTTACTCTCACGAAGATAATGTTAGATAATGGTTGTAATATCCACGATAGAAAATCGAGATATTCTGCACTCCACAGAGCTGCTTTTTCTAGTGACTTTGAGAATATAGCAGTTACTTTCTCCGTCGTGAAAATGTTGAGCCATCTCGCAATTGTTAGTGCACATAAAGGATGACAAGATTCATAAATCGCTTACGTTGTTTCAATACGTTCATTTCATAGTAATAAATACTTCTTTATGAAGAGTGCATAAAAAAAAATTATTGAATTGGTTGATTTACTTGTCTTGCAAGTTTGGATATATATATATAAATACGTATAGAATAAAAATATTTTTATGTAAAATAATTGAATTCAATTTAGCGAGAGGCACAAATAATATTATCGTAAAAATAATGCAGATCCTCTTGTAAACTGTTGATTAAATATCAATTCTATATTTTAATATTTATTCGTTAATTACTTTCCAGCTAAATACATTTTACTTTCCATTTTTCCAAATCAAAATCCCCAATTTTTTATTAAAAGTACAACTCTTTACTCTCAAGTTTAAATTGTTATACAGCGATTGCTATGACTAATGACGACCAAACGATACCAATATATATCATGCAACTGAAAGAGGCGCTGCCATTCTCTTATTTTTCCCTAAATCGCTCGTGATTCATCGCTAGCATGAAGTACTATAAGGAGATCCAGCTCCAATGCAATATGTTTGAGAATTTGGAACGATTTTTCCATCGAAAACCCAAGCGAGAGGACGAGCGATACGATTGGTTACAATGATTGTAGACAATACCTAAATCACAATCGTATATATCTACTGAAGTATGTTATTTATATCGTACAAAATCTATAATATTTTTAGCACTTATATTACATTTTTTTATCGAGAATTTGAAACTTTTTGATAAATTTTCAACACAGAACATTGTACGATAAAAACTTAAAAGTACATTGATAACGTTTTCAAATCATTGGAATATTTAATGCTTATTAAATTATCGAATTTCAACTTGAACAATAAGAGTTTTGATTTATATTCGTAAATTTAAATGAATTTAGTTCTATTTTCTTTTATATAAATGTTGCTAGCCTGTCGTATGAAGTCATTTTATTCATGATCTGATTGGTTGAACGTAGTAACGTAGGTCATTGTTAAGAGTAAGTCACCGTTAAATAATACACGTCTTGCGTCGATTTATAATCCATTAATAAAATGAATAAAAATAAGTAAAATAATTCACAATTTATTTCACAAACGTTTGTACAATATCTTTGCAAGGTTTTACTGAAATATTTCAGTGAATTCTTCAGTGCAATATTTCATGCTATGTGGGCCTTTTCGAACATCTACAGACATTCAAAAGTTTTTCTATTACCATTTGCGCTAAATAACTATTCTACATACAGCCTAACAGACTATTTTCGTCCAGATTCAAAAGAGAAAACTTTTTTAGAATTCATTCCAAGCTCTGATTGGCAACCATGCGTTACCATTATTTCTATTGTGTTTTATTGTGTTTTAGATCGCATATTTCAACTGAATATTTCATAGTATTTATGGGAGTTTTTGTATTAAGATACATTTTGTTTGGTAATAGTTTCGTGATATCACCGCTATTTAAGTACCTGACGATGTAATCAAATTTGCAATGATAGATGTCTTTTTCAGATTTCTAAATTAGCGTTTAATGACTTATGTTGGCATATTACGCATTGGTTCAGTCACTATTTGCAATACTGTTTTGGGCGTTATATTTGAAACAAAAATATCCGCATTTTCGTTTAATAAAAATATTAGCGCATTGTTTTGATAGTCCGAACAAGCGGCATGACTCCAAATGAGTTTTTTGTATTGATATCGCAACCTATTCACAACAAATCCGGAATGATATCTATGTTATTGTACATCACTGCCAGGTGTAATAAAGTAGTTCCTAATCCATCAATCAAATCGGATGGGATGGCAGATTTTATTATGCTCTTGATGTTATCGTTTTGATTTCATCACATGAGATCCTTCAGCTCGGACTTAAACTTTTTCTGTGCAGCCTCTATACAAAACTGTAAAATTAATGGAAAATAAAATTTTTTCGTTGCTCTCATCCCTAACAGCGATATTACACTTACGTACTAAGCTCTCACAGACACATTGCGCTGAGCACATCCTCTCCTACAAGGTTGTTTGTATCGGCATAGTCTCCAACAAATCTTTCTTTGCTCTCAAAGAAAGTTCAGGATCGGAAATAAACGTTTGACCAACCGTGCTGCGATGAAACTCGTTCTGCCGTGTACCTGTTAATTTAATGTTACCGCGTTCACCTACACCGCGACCTACCTGAGCGTACCTGGTCAATATATACCTACTTAGCGAGTTAGGTTCATAAATAATACACGCTTTCATTTCATCTTTAACTAATTGTAGAAAAAATTTCTTATTAGTTTTTTTCATTCTTCGAGACGATACAATTTTCATCTTGATTTTTCATGCGACTCAGAAACCCAAGATAAGCCAATCGATTTTCCATTTCAATCAATTAAGACAGATACGTAGTGAGCATTGCCGATTATTTGTGCATTCGCTTATATACGCATGTATACGTATTACGTTCATCAGATAACAAAAAATAAAGGTGTTCTTCCTAACTTATTTATAATGCTCGTCATATATAAACGAATTAATACGGATGAACGAACTTTACTTCGAGTCGAGGGCGCCACCAGCTTTTCTCAGTCCCAATTGCACGCCGCATCGGTCTGAGAATTTTGTTTTGATTTGACTTTGAAAGTTCGAGCGGTAAATCGGTTATCGTTACTTTCGCAAATGATTATTCTCGTTCATTGTTAGCAAGATTCAATTACTGCTAGTTTTTTATATCAGGTGAGTTAACATTCAAACATTATTAAGCGCTATGAAATTACAATAAGTATTAAATCCAAATTATACCGTTATTATTTATGTTTTTACATTTCAAGGTTATGACCGAACATTTTAGAAAAAGTAAAACCGAACGATTGTAGACTAATTGATAGAGTATTCGTTTGATTTTGCTCAGATTAAATCAACGGTGAATATTTTAAAATGACTCAGCCAGTTCACATTACGCTATTCGAAGCTTTGAACCAAGACGACGATAAACAGTTTCGCTATATCCTAGAAACTGAAGGTCTTCCTCGCGGTACGAATTGGCTAGATTACGACCTGCTTACTAAAGCACTTAGACAAAAAAGTAAACGTATCGCTGCATATCTCTTGGAAAAACGTTGTCGAGTGATGAAGAATGACGATACTACTCAGCTTAACAAAGTAGTTGAAAAATATGGTTGGGGCAATATTGTTGAGAGACTGCTAACGCTGGAGTCTAAAGTCACAGATGTAAATGACAAAGGAGATACTGTACTGCACTTAGCTTTTGTCAATCATTTCCCGGAGTTCATCATTGACCTTCTACTAAGGCACTACATGCATGAGACGACTGTGAATGTTATGAATCGAGATGGATTGAGCTTTCTCCACATAGCTTGCACCAGACCTAATAAGTGCTTGGCACAAGAATTTCTTGAGACTGGCAAGTCTGATGTTCATAATCAGGTAAGTTGTGATCTTTGTGTATTTTTTAGTCATCCAATCAAGCTTGTATAATACTTCCAGGTATCATTGATGTCTAACTCCATATATTCTGGATACACAGCGCTTCACTTCGCAGTGGAACATGGCAGATTTGAAGTAGTTAAAAGTCTTCTTCAATATAATGCTGACATTTATGCTATAGATTTCCATGGGTCTACTCCTTTACATCTTGCATTGGAACATGGTGATAAGAGGATTATTGATATCCTTTGTTATCATGACAACAGAAACGAAAACTATATTAATAAGTGAGTAAATATTTCTAATTGTTATAGCAGAATAACTATTCTTATTAGTTTTGGATCATGAAAATGAACATTTTTATAAAATTATTCACTATTGTCTGTACTGTTAGTGGTAATCAATCATTATCTAGTTCTGATAAATATTTACTGTAAAAAAGTTATGAACCAATCAATACTCTATGAGTTATTGTAATAATATTTAAAAAACCATTATCTGAAACAATTTTTTTTTTAGATTTGGTTTGTCACACTTCATGGCAGCTTGTGCCAGTAGTGATTCTCTCATAGCAGACCAATATCTGTATATTGCAGAGCAAGATCCACTTATTTCAGCAGGAGGTCTCATTAGAGGACGTGTGAAAAACGTCAATGAGTACACATATGCTTGCTACACTCCTCTACACTTTGCTGCTGAATTCGGGCGACTTGATACAGTTAAATTGCTTCTTGCTCATGGAGCGAATTGTTGTGCAGTTACCAATCAAAACCTCACTCCAACCGACCTTGCTTGCAGAAATGAGCATATGGAAATTTGTTCACTGTTACTGCAACATTCATGTGGATGTAAAGCTGAAGTGGCTCAAAAAACTGCTGATGAGATATTGTCGAAAGAAAAAATTGTTAACCAATCAACTGTGAAACAATCAGTGAAAGAAGATAGTCAAGTTGCAAAAAAAAAATCTACAACTAAAAAGGACGTGGATTTACAGTTAACCTTTGCCGTTTGGTACTTTCATGCAATACTATTAGTTTTTATTTCAATTATTACTATTCTCATGTTTGATTTTAATAGTTTTATGAAACTGTTTTCAAATCCATAATGTTTTGAATCTTTTTACAATATTTAATATTTAGTTTATGAAACAAGTTTTTCCCTCATTTTGATTGATCTCATTTTGATGTTTAATCAAAATTATTATTAATTAGGTTAAATCATGATATATATATATAGATAGATAGATATAGGCTCTATATTTTGTAAATATTAGATTGACAGGCCTAGAATTTCATACATTGGTCGCGTTTCTCAGCTAATTAATCAATATTTATTTTTTCTAATAGTTATTTTTAATTGTTTACACTATCAGTACTGATTACTAAATTATACCTGCGTTATATCAGTTATGAAAATGAACTATGTTGGTTTAAAAAAATGTTATTCCTATTTTTTATTTATTTAAAATATGTATCGATATCAATAAACCTTTAATTATATTGTATCACATATTTTCCGTAACAGTTATACATACATATGTACATTTGCTCAAATGTTTATATCAATAGAATATGTACTAATCATAATTTTACAATTATTTACTATTGAAATTCCATAATTAAGCTTATTTTAGCGCTATTTAATTTTTATTTTCACGGCATTTATGTATTACAAACTATATAGAATATAGTAAAAAATAATATATTTTTTATATAATACTTAATTAAGTGTTATTTATTATACAATATTATTCAATATTTGCACAACCGTATAAACATAGAAAATGTCCTTTTTTAACTGTATATTTGAATTATAATCTGAAAGATTAATATTTTGAACTATAATAAAAAATAATTTGACAATAATGATAAATAATTTTCCAATATCAATGTTGCAGTATAATAATTATTTATTTATACAAAAATGTGTACTACCTTATTTAATTAGTGGTATTAATTATTCATATATAGTATAAGTTTCCGATTCGAGGTCGGTTAGTTAAACTTATAATGAATGTATTCAGCAGTGTATCATATTTTATATTCTAGTACACTGCGATACTAGTGCGGGAATAGTACATTACGATACAAGTGCGGGAAAGTAGATTCTTGTCTCGTGTGGCGTTTACGCCCGAGCGAAGCGAGTATCGAAAAAATATACTAGCTTAACTTTGCATATATAACTGACTTGAAAATAAGCATAAAATTATTGTTAATGTTAAAAAGATTACCTAATACAAAGTTTTTCAAGTTGTTTGTCTAAAATTATTAAACAGAGACAACCTAAATATGTTATTTAAGCATAAGATATTATTTTATGATAAATTAAAAATCGATTAAAAAAATAAAATCTAATTAATGATTATAAAATTGAGTAAAAATAAGAAACGAAAACTGTCAAATTTGAGCAACTACGAAAAGATGCTTCGTCACAATATTATCTTGTTGAATTACGTAATCTGTTGGGGCAGAATTTTTCGAATTAAAATGTCAGTGTCATTGTTTATACATCATATATTCGTTGAGGACAAGCGCTAATTTCGTAATGATTGACGCGAATATTCATATTTTCATAATCTTTTTTGTAAATTACTATTGTTATGTCAAAGGGATCGTTGATCCGTGAAAAACCCTCTTAACATTAATGTGCATGTAATATAATGTGAAATGATATAAAAATATTAAACTTAGGATTAAAAAAAGCGTCACTGGTTTATTTGTTTTTAATTCAACGTGTATAAATCACTCTTATCAAACTGGTGAATTTTAATGGAGTTTATTACGAATGTTCTGATATTCTCAGTCATCTTGCAACTGTCAAAGACATAAACTGCTACGCACGATGGTTAGTGTCGACGTTAGCGTGGGTAATCTAAGCAACAAAATCTACAAGCAATGTATTGCAGCGGCAGGAGGTCAGTACATTGTTGATTTTAATTGAAGCACCCGAAAAGGAAAAATGTTATATTTTTGTGAAATTTTCCATTTTTTCAATATGACCATGAATTTTATTTTTGTTCGTTATGAAAATACTATTGTTATCATTTTTTTAAATAAACTTATTGCAAGTCATTATTATTAAATTACTTCCATATAACGAAAGCTTTGTTTTGATAAAGAAAGATTTCTTAAAATCATTGTAAAAACGGAGTTTTAAGGTGTTAACAGTCAGAATGCCATTTTTTTAAAATGTCTGTATAAGTGTATATGTGTATTATTGTTAACAAAAGACTTCTTCGAAGTTCTGAAAACGATTTTAGTAAAAATAGCTTTATTAAAAAGTAAGTGCAATCCAAATAATGTAAAACATATTTTGCTGTCAATATATTTTGTATGTGACACAAATGTAAAAAGTAAAATAAATTGTAAATTTAAGGACTCGTTGTAATTATTTGAAAACGATTATTATACTCCGTGATGACCAACAAGAACATTAATGAAGTAAATGTTAAATGAACTAAGGACACGTCAGTATTATCAATTCCAATTTAGTTACGAAAAAAAAATATTGATATAAATTACACTTGCAACGAAGTGATAAATATTATAGACTAATGAATATCTAGCGTACAAAATCATATAATAAAATAATATAAAATTATAATTTAATACAGCAAAAAATTTTGTTATCATAAAATGATATGTGTCTTAGCTTAATAAAAGAACAATTTATTTTACTTGAAACAAAATTACACTTGGTTTAGATACTTACGGTCCAAAGACAATTAAAAATTGCATATTCTCTGAAAAGTTGTATAAAGTCATGTTTTATCTTCCAGCGCTCTTAATAATGCTTCAAACCGGAATAATGAGCGGCTGGACATCACCCAACATCGCTCGCTTGACAGCCGATAACGCAACAATTCCATTGACACTAACAGAAGCATCATGGGTAGCATCCTGTTTAAATCTCGGTAGATTCGCTTCAGCAGTCATTGTGCCAATCTTCATTGAACTAATCGGCAGCAAAACCACAGTTCTCGTGTCGTTCATTCCAGTAAGCATCTCATGGTTACTAATGATCTTCGTCAATTCACCTGCATGGTTATACATCGCAAGATTTTTCGGTGGTATAAGCTTCGGCATGGCATACGGATGCTTTTCACTGTTTCTTGGCGAAGTGTCGATGCCAGCATATCGTGGGACTTTTATTACGATTGCCATGTGTGGTGCACCTTTGGGTACTGTATTTGCAACTATTGGAGAAACTTATCTGCCTATGATGACGTCGAGTGCGATTTATCTGGTGCAATGTTTGGCCGGTATTATTTTGTTCTTATGGTTACCGGATTCGGCGCATCACCTCGTAAAGATGAAACAGATTGACAAGGCGAGAGAGTCGATTTGTTGGTATCGAGGTAATAACGAGTTAGATAAAGAATTGAATCAGATAACAAGTTTCGTTGAAACTTATGCAAATGAGACTTTGTCGGAGAAAATGTCACAATTGAAATCAGCACCAATTAGAAAAGCTCTTCTACTCGCCGTTGTACTGTTCATATTTCCACAGATGTGTGGGCTTTTCAACATAATGTTCTACATGGAGATCATCCTACAAAATGGAAAATCTTTCTTAATTAATCCTCAAGAATTTGTCATCTATGCGAACACAGTGGCAGTATTTTCTACTTTCATCGCGATCAAGCTTATCGATTATTCCGGTCGCAGGTTGCTATTATTTTCGTCGAGTGTTATTGTTGCTATCGCAATGACTAGTCTTGGCACGCATTTTTACCTTCTCGACTTGGGCTATGATTCGTCAGCTTTACAATGGCTGCCAATCGCGTCGATTCTACTATTCATGATTGGATTCACAATCGGATTTATGATCGTCCCGGCCACTGTTTTCAGTGAAATTTTCCCAGCTGGAATTAAAAGTACAGCATCAAGTATTTCGACCTTCACCTCGGCGCTCTTCGGTTTCGTCTCTGCTAAATCTTATCAGCCCATGGTTGATTCTTTCGGTGAGGCTTATGTTTTTTGGATTCATGCGGTTTTCGCAATACTCGCGGTACCTGTGACCATGTTTATGCTGCCAGAGACGAAAGGCAAAAATTTCCAAGAAATTCAGGATTTATTTCATAAGAAAAAGACAATTTATGTAACTAAAAAAAATAAACCTTAATAATGTGCGTTATTGTCTGCCACTGTTATTTATTTTACAAATATGATATAATTGTTTATTCTATATTTAATTATATTTATTTCTTATTCATTCAAATTATTATCTATGAATGCAAACGGGAATGGTTTCCGATACCCCTCCCTAGTAACCCACCAGCAAGTGAGGCATCATGTACGAATTTTAAGAATGTAAGGATGCTATAGCAGAATGTAAAATAGAAAAATACATGTTAATATTTAACTTTCCTTACTAATTATTCAAAAAAATTTATGCATGAAAAATTTTAAATGACGTGAATGAAAAAGAGTTCGAAGAGGTACTTTATTTAACATTGAATTCTAATTATGATATTTAAAATAGAAGTATAGTTTGATAATTGATTTGTGAAAAATTGATCCTATATACATACGTGTATCTTGTATCTGCATAACATCAAAAATAGCTTGTTAAATTTGTTGAGCGTTGAATAAGAAGCGTACGTATTTTGTTAAAATGTTTTAGCTAATTGACGAACGAAAAAGTTGTTTGCAATTTCGAATATTTTCACGGAGGCCTAGAATAGTCATCCGAAATAAATCCTTCATTTTACGACATTATATAATTGTCATAAATCTAACAAAAGCAAAATTTCTCAATGTATACGGTCTATCCGCTCACTTGAGAATTCCAAAGAAAGGTAGGCTTAATAATGATGGATAGAGACTTGAATTTTCTTTTGTAGTAAGCCATAGAAATATCTTATTACTCCCGAGCTATTAAGTATGGAAATATTTGTAAGGTCACTGCAGGTAATAAAACGTTGGCAAAGTGGCAATCGCGCACAAAATTATTTACCCATGAACTATTGTGTACCGGAAATATGTCACAATATATCTATATATTAATTTTCACGTATGTTACAGTGCACAATTGTTTATGTAAATAATAGCCATATGCACAATTACGAGCTTACTAATAATTTTTTTTTACTAATAAATACTCAAGTAATAAACTTGTACAAAATAGGTATATTAAATGCATAACGTAATCCATACAAAATTCCTACGTGTTTATTCCGAAATTCACGTATGAAATACGTACGTATATATACTTTATACGTGTAATGAATTTTACAACTTACGAATTAATTTTCCATCAAATTATTACATTACCTGTATATAAATAATGCCATTTGTCGGATCTATAGATCTTTCAATTGGAGGTTACTTAATATTTTTTGCAGAGAAAGCTAGGGGAATACCACGCCCACCCGAGCGATCAATAAAGTGAAGGTACATAGGCTATATGGCGAGTCGCTCATGCGCTTTTCATTTCCATTTGAATTTTGTATCTGTGATTTAGTTTTACCAATAGTAATAAACTTCTTTTATTATTCCTCAAAACGCTCTTTTTTATTAATTCGACGGAAAGCATTTATTACACGATAATTAATTTAAAAAATATTGTAAATCAGCTTGGTAGCAAATGATTTATTGCCTTGATAAATTAATATTTACAAATAAGAGACTTCCCAATATGCAGAACATATCTTTTACAGATAACGCATTCACTTCTTAATCGATGACCCCGTTCCCATAAATACATTAATCATACTTATTGCGTTAAAAGCTGTTGAAAAAATCCTTTATATGTAAAACAAATGCAGTCGTTGTTATAGATGAAATGGAATAAGAACATATCAATTTTGTGTAATTTTAAAAACTAAAAATATACAAATTAAATTTTTTTAAAAGTAAGATCTATTTATCAAGGATTTGACATTCTTGTTAAATAATCTTATTGATAGAAAGTTAAAACCGTAATAACAATCACTCAGTTATTTCGTGCTCACATTTTATTAGAATCTGTACAGTACAGTTGTACGATAAATAAATTAAACATCATTTAAAATCTTTCAACCACAACAAAATGAAATAAAATAAAAATAAGCATAATTGTCTGCTAACACTGTTATAATAAAAGCCAGTTTCGTAATCCGTTTTCCGTTAAGTCGAAATGTAATCGTGATTCAGTGAACTCGACAAGATAATTGAAGTTAATTCAAACATATGCATGAGTAGCCCAAACTTGCATCGGATTTTCTACACAAGTAATTGTCCGACAAACACTTGACGGTGCAAAGTGTTTTTTGAGCGCCGTTGCATCCGGGAATGACGCCATTGGGCAGGACTGAAATGAAAAATTAGCATAAAATAACGTAGAATGACGTATGTTTCTTGTTATACGCGTTTATAGTTATTTTTCTAAATAGAACCGAGTAACAATTCATTTTTTTTATTTCAAGAACGACCCGCTGTTCATACTAAATTTAATTAGTAATCGAGACCAATTTGTTAGAAAAAAATGAACGAACTCACAAGAATCAGCAGCGCACAGCGAGACAGCAACGACAAGAAGGAAAAACACGAGCAGCTTCATTTTTGCAGTTGCACTTCAATTTACACGGCAGATTATGTCTCAAACGTTAAACGGTTGCTAGCATACTAAATAGTCGTGATATCACTCAAGACTTTTATATTTATCCCACGCGAAAGGAGTCTGCGCGTGCTTGCGGTCAATGCGTAATACGCTCTTCTTTTTTTATGATTATGCTGATTTCCATGTGAGTGTATGTAGCGATCTGACCTCTGTATTGAGCGCTATCGGCTGTCTTGTTCGGCCGTGAAATCTTCTTCAATGATTCGTAATTGTGAAATAATATATATCGCTGAGACTGATTTATTATTCGAAATTTCGTAGTTTTTTTGATTTTTTATGAGCCAAGAATTCATCAATGCCAACCTTTCTTTTTGCGATATCAAATAATTTTAAGGTCATAACTTATTGATTTGTTATAATTTAAACTAGCATATTATCAACCTATGCATTATGATTATACTTACCATCATCTGGCAACGATCTTCCAACATGAGATATATGCTTCTGCGAACTTGACACACTTTTTTCAATGTACACGTATATAGAGAAAATATGAAGCGTATAAGAAAATTTGATATTTATAAAAATATTTTGTTTATGAATATTATTAAACACAATGGTGTTCAAACAAAAAATACCAAGAAGATAAAAATGAATAACTAATGTAATACAGTATATAAAGAAATACGAAGCGATAATAAAGTTGTGAAACTATGTAATCAATAAATTGGCATTGTCAATTGCTTAATCGACTCCTTCCATAATAAAGTCGAGGAAGCTTTATATCGCTATATCTATAATATAGATAATATTGCCAGAGTGGTATCGATGAAGTATTTGAAATTATCGCGGTCGTATGAACTACGAAAAAATTATAATATATTTAATTAATTATTTAATTAATAAATACAACAATGAAATTAATTAAGTTTAAAATTAATCTCAGTTTATATTTGCAAAATACAAAATATTGATAGTTCTTTTTTTCCAAATTCACACCTATGTATATCGAATACAAAATGTTTATAACCAAATGGTCAATGCATGATATCTGATTTTCTATGCATTCCTGATTGAAATGATCTAAAAATCCAAAAATTCAAAAGTCTGCATAGTAACAGTGTGTTAATAAATAATAAATAAGGAACAGCTAAGCGTTTTTAAACTTCGTTATGAAATTAATATGCACGAGCATATCGAGAAAAATAAATCAAATGTAAAACTTTTTCTATTTATTTGTTCAATCTAAAATTAGACAAACCTTCTCTGATGTCTAAAAAGTAATGATATCGGTTCTTAATAAATCTCATTTTACAACACTTGTCATCGAAAATTAGAAAAAAAAATGATTAAAATGATTGTTCAAGGATAATTTTATTGAAAAAATCTTAAGTATTAAGCGAATAAATTCAATTGCAGCTTATTTTTAATTTTTTTAGTCGATTCTCGTGCAAGAATGACCAAGATAAGTTAATTTTAAAGTTAATTTTTTCCGGTAAGCACTTTGCGTAGCGCGAGAGCACATGTGCATATGTGTGTACATTAACTACCGTAGACGCGAGGTACACGGTGTATCTTCCTAGACGGCGCTCGATTTAATTTGACTTTCCCGAATTGTTCGTTCGAATCCCCGAATGGTAGAAGAAAAGTTTCGATCTAAAACATACTTCGACTATCGGTCAGACACAGTTTTGATGTGTTTTTTGTGTGCTAAATATGTTCTGTTTGAATGGAATATACATATATGAATGATCCGATTTTGAATGTGAATTAATATCTTAAAATATATGTATGGACTAGGCGGTCAAGTAATATCCTCTCTGTACCTGTATATAAGTAAGTCAATACTCTAAATCTTAATACAGATGTAAATTTTCGAGCTATCTCACTATAGCCATCTCGTCTATAATCAGCAGGTGACTATTTATTTTTGTTGAGTTTCAACAACACCGTGACATATAACCTTTCCTGCGATTTCATATAATTTTGTAAGTAATTATTGTGTTGTTTTATTAAATTAAAACTTAAAGTTTGTAGATAATTTTAAAAATTATACTTTGCACATTTAAATTTTAAGCAATTTAACGGTACTTAAAAAAAAACTTTGTTTTTGTATTTATTCTCAGTTTCCTCTTTGAATTAACCTCTCTTTGAAGTCGCACAATATCGAAGCAATGGAGGACCAGCCCAGTAAGCCAGTCGTCCCATTGATTCTGCATGTAGACACCCATTCTCCGCTACAATACGATTTTCTAGCTGACAATCTTCTGGACAAAGGTTACTTTGTCTCTGAACCGGAAAGTATCAAACTTTCCCTAGATTTGGCGAACGAACAGCTGAGTCTGAATAGCGACTGGACCGATATCGCGTTGAAACTTCTTGACGATGGTGCACATGTCAGTGAACGGAATGCAAATCGAGACACATTTGTCCATCTGGGCTTTGTTAAAGGAATCGAAGATGACAAGCTTGATTCCTTGATTAAGAAATACCTTACGCAAAGTAAAATTGATGCTGTGAATAAGGATGGACTCAGTGTACTACATATCGCGTGTACGAGGCCGAATGTTGAATTTGTCAGAGAACTTTTGTTGAAGAAAGCTATTGTTAATCGTCGGGTAGGTTAGCTAATCTTCTTATTTGGAAAAAATATAAAGCTTCTGTTTTATTGTTCGAATGAATTCATTAAATACTTTTTTTTAATTTACCTGATTTATTCATGACGAAATATCAGAAAATTGATTGAAAATGTTTTCTTCAAAATTTTAAATTTAATTAACATATATCATTATGATTTGACTTAACGTCTTTGATCGTGAATGAAGATTTCAATCATCAACATCAATTAAAACCGTATTATTATACAGGTTCCTCCACGTTCCAATTCGAAATTCGCCGGATACACACCACTTCACATCGCAGTGGAATGTGGCAATTACGAAGTGGCTAATTTGCTTCTCGAATACAACGCTGACATTTACGTACCAAATCTCAATAGATCGACTCCGCTTCACTCAGCTTGCTATCGTCGAGATCAGAAGATGATCGACATGATTCTGGCTCATGATCGCATTACTGCAAACGTTATTGACAAGTGAGTCTTGTAAGCGATAAATTTTACTCGCATCCACTATATTAATGCCCTCTGAGCTCCCTTACTGATCAATTTGTCCATTTATAGCAATGGATTATCGCATTTTATGGTCACGTGTGCAAGCAACGAAGCTGCTTTCGCCAAGGAGCATTTACGCGTCGTCAAATGCAAGAGTTGGACGTCGATGGAAACTCTTATCAACAGCTGCATTAACAAAGCCTACGATCATCCGTTTGCTGGTTACACTCCTCTACACTTTGCTGCTGAATTTGGTAGCGGCGCAGTCGTTGAATTGCTAATGAGTTGCGGAGCTAATTGTTGCACGATGAGCGCACGATTGCTTACTCCGCTTATGCTTGCTGATCACAATGGACATGAGTACGTTACTGGACTATTCAAACGTTACTGTAAGGGGTATCAATGGTATGAGGCGGTATTGACTAATAAAAACAATGAGATTATTGACGAATGTGTTGAAAAGTGAAATGAAAGTATGCGAGTGTTTTGTTCATGCTGATATTGCGAATATTTATACCGTAGAAAAAATTATTTATTATAAAGACTCAGTGGTCAATGTTCAGTGTCGCGACAAAAATGATTAAAATATATCTGAATGTTTATTAGAAAGAAAGTCAGAAGATTCGAGTGAAAAAGACATTGCAGTTACCGAGTATGTTATACTGTCGATAGTAGCATGGCTAGTTATCTCATAGATTTTATCGAATAAGGTTTTATGTTGGTGAGCACGTCGAGAAAGTGATCGTTTGTGTAACTGTTGAATGTCTGTATGGATGATCGCAGTTTTTCACTTGTTACAATTCTAATGATCAAAAGATCCGAAAAATGACGGCGTGCATTAAAAGTTGCGTTTTTAATTGCAGGTCTCATATTTAGATTGTAAATACAGTATGTTTATGTATTTTCCAAATTTTTAATTCTATAAGTACGACCTTTCGTCTTTTTTAGTCATAGTGGTAAACTAGTTTGTTATTTTAATATAAGTGAAACAATTTAAAAATTAGGTCGCGGTATAAGTGATGTCACTAAGGTCCCTGTACGTCATATGGAAAATTTGCCTTCATAATGTCGTCGCAACTATGTATAATAATGTGCTCAAATATGTATGATTCGATAGTGCATAGTATTGTTCAATTATATATCAAGAAATTTAATTTTCTTAACAAACCTTTCTAATAAGATTACATTTAATCAAACTAATCGTTTAAAAATTTTGTTTCTAAAAGCTCGCTCTTTATCATAACATCAACCTGTCGATTCGACTAAATAATTAGAAGTCATCGTTTATGATAAATTGTGAATTTTCGAAAATCATCATATAAATAATAATCGGCTTGACCGAACAAGCTACAATTCAATTGATGTAACTGCATATTATAGAATCATACCAGATTGTAAATAAGGATGCGAAACTAGGAAGGTAAATTTTTTTATATCCTGGTGAGCTATACATACATGTAGAGACTTGCAATAGTAAAAAATGCGCCTATGGCTATAATATTGTAAGCTGACAAATGTTGATTTCTTTTGAATATTTTAATAAAAAGGCATATAAAAAGATTTTTCAATCATTACGATTATTATTATTAAAAAGAGTTAGTATCATGAAAGTGATATGGGAGGAAATATTTTTGACTGTAGGCTATTGATTGATAGCGTTACAACGATAAACTAACACAGTAAAGGGAAAGAAAAACATTTGTAACACACAACTCATAACGGTACAGTGATTTGTTTGCTAATGGCAACCAACCAACCTTCAGGACTTTTCTCGGTTTGGGGAAAATTTTAGGGAAACGTGGATTAGTCATGTCGTGTGCAAGGCGTTAGCAAAGAGAGGAAGGAAAATGTGGCGCACGCAACTGCGGGAGGAATCCCAAATCGTAGAAAGTAATTTAATCATTACTTTTTTTGGTCGTGTCTGTAATAATTTATTAATTATTACACATGAACTTACTCGTCAGCGAACTTGAATTGTAATTTTAATTAGTAGGCTCGCGTTGTTGAAATTTAAAGGTAGACGTGTCAGTTGCTTGATCTCTCACAATCATTTTCCCAAGATAACAAAAGTGCGTCCAAATCGCGTAATGATCAAACGATTCTTGGCAATTTGAGATTTTTCCGCAGTTGTGCGCCCCATTTTCCTTTTCTCTCACGTTTTTCGAGCAGATAAATTCTGAAGGCTGACAAAGGTTTGCCTGATAGCTATACCAGCAGACAAACCATTATATGAATCGTATCGCTTTCGAAAGTTAATTTTTTTTTTCACCTTACTCTACTTGAGTTTGCCTTTACTGCTTTGTCACTTATATTACGCATATAAACGTTAAAAAAGAGAAATAAACAGTTTATTTATTGCTTTTATTTATGTTTCGCGTTAACATTGTGTTGATTTTATTTGCGTTAAGTTCTGTGATCAACTGTCATACTTGTCAGTCAATAACTTGGTCCGAATTATTTTTTGTCGAATTACGCCTTCGTGTGATAAAGCTCAACGATGGAAACCCAACCATCTGCATGGGGTTAGCAAATAGCAAAAGGAATCCGTAAGCATAGTAAATCTCGGGTAACGCGATGTCGGTCGGCTCCGCTAATTCCCGTAATGTCGCTGCGGGAAAACCTGAGAAAGATGGTTGCGTGTTTCCATGTGGACGAATGACGAGGGCGGAGCTTCTTTCTTTTTATCTACATATATTGTTCCACCCTCCCGTTCGCTAAAGGCAACTAATACTATTACGTCTTTCTACGTATGATGGCGACCTCTTATCCTTATATTTCAGTCTGCCACAGTTGCCGGCAGTTGAAGTCTGGATATTTAATGAAAACGTGAAAAAACTGTGTGCAAAAATTATTTTTGTGTTAAAGTAATAAGTTCACTCGACTATTTTTATTTTCGTTTATGTGATAGCGCACCTGTCTTAAGGTCTCTCCTCAATAAAACTCTCGACAAAACTATACAAATGCTAAATCTTTATCCAACAGATCATGAATCCAAAGTACCAGTTGAAGAAACCTCTGTTCGCGGCATTGCGCAAGGACGATGCCGCAAAATTCCGAATGATCCTGGACAAGCAAGGCTGGCCATCCAGTTCAGAATGGTCGGATTACGAGCTTCTGCTAAAAGCAATCCGCGGCGATTGCAAGTGTGTCGCTTGGGTTCTCTTGGAAAAAGGCGCGAGAATCTTCAAGAGACAGAGAGTGGACGGTCCACTACACAAAGTTGCCATGAATGTCGGATGGACAGATTTCGCGAAAATTCTGCTGGAGAGGGGTGCTAATGTTGCCGCGTTGAATAACAAGGGCGACACTTCACTGCATATTGCATTCGCGCACAACAGGTCACCGGAGCTCATTGACTTATTGCTGTGGACCCATTTGCGCGATACGAGCGCTGTGAAGGATGTCGTCAACAAGGAAGGATTGAGCTTTTTACATATTGCGTGTACAAGGCCGAATTCCAACTTTATCAGCACACTGGTGGAGCATGGACAAGTAGATGTTAACATTCAGGTGAGTGCCTCTAGATAACTGATTTCGTTTGAGTGTATGACTCTCGTATTAATGTTGTATGCTCAGTTTATTTGTTTTATTATTGAAATGATATAAATAATTGTTAGATCTGACAATGATTTATTTGAAAAATCGTCCAACAAATTTAACATAGTCTATTTAAAATTTACTATGAAAAAAATCATCCGCATTGTTCAAACATAACAACTTTAATTGCATTTTTATTTACAGGTGCCCATAGTCTCCGACTCGATGTACGCAGGTTATACGCCACTACACTTCGCTGTTAAGTTTGGCCGATACGACGTTGTCGAGCATCTTTTAAACCACTACGAAATCGATCTGTACGAGCAGGAAGCGAACGGATCAACGCCGCTTCATATTGCGACTGAACGTGGAGACATTGAAATGATCGACTTGATTTTGAGATACGACGATAATCGAGGAGACCGCTGTAACAGGTTAATAATTTCTCGTCGACAGTGTAATTGTTCTTTCAATATACAGTATTAGGAAAGTCGTTTTAATTTTTCGTGTATTGTGCAGGTTTGGCCTATCACACTTCATGGCAGTCTGTGCGTGTAGCAATGAAACCCTCGTCGATGATTACCTTAGAGTCGCAGTTTATCGTTCTTGGACAGAACCCACCATCTTGGTTAGATCGCAGGTGGCGAATCAACAGCATTACTCCTACGCCGGATACACTCCGTTACATTTCGCCGCTCAATATGGCCGAGTAAACACGGCCAAGCTTCTTCTGCAACTGGGCGCTGAATGCTGTTTGGTTGCGGTTGACGGCGCGACTCCTCTCGCACTCGCGAGTCAACGAAAACACACCGATGTTTGTATGTTGTTGAACGATTGCTGCACCGATACTCTCGGAAAACCGGCGGAGAAAAAAAGACGAATTTTCGGCAGCGAGGGTTGTGTGAACGTTGAGTTCGTGCATTTCAATGATGATTTTAGAAAATGCAACGGAAGGTCTTACTCGATTGCTAATGACGAGTCAACGTCGACTACCTCGTCTGCTGCTTCTTTATCTTCTAAAGCTTTAGTCGAGCTTTTCTATGACAATCCTCGCACGATTTGCGTCAATTCCCAGCAGATTGCTGAAGTTGGCAATGAGAGCTGTTTTTATTGTCTCAGCGACGTTCGCGATAACTCTGTAGGATTTCTAGCTGATAATTCGATTTGCAGGCAAGGGCTTTGGAATTTGGAGACTTATGATGAGATGGATTATACTTGTATCAAGATACCTGAGGATGTTAACTTAGATTTTTATGAACCACTCGATGATGTTGATAGCGATCATATTTTTTATACGTTTGATAAGACAGTTGATGATAATGATTGTTTTTCTATGGATAATTCCACAAATGTTGATGTAAGTTTGGATAATGCTTCGGATGATAATCTTGCTAAAGATGCAAATGAGTGTGTTCTGTTAACTTTGTCAGATCAAGACAAGATCTTTGACAGTTTATTTGAGCAATATCTGGAAAATGAAAACTTTACAAAAAGTCTAGATGGTTGTAACGATGATACTGCTGCAGATGTTGATTTTGTTGATTTTGATAGTATCGATGATGAAATGATGTCTGAAAAATTGATGCACTGCCTTCATCAAGACGCAGATTCATCTATTATCGATTTTGAATCAAGTTTTGCGAATAATCGCAATGATTCACCTGCCAATTTCAGTAACCATGAGCAGAGAGAATTTGGAAATACTGACGATCTTGACACAACGCTCGAAGTTTCAAGTTCATCGTCAGAGTTGGATATTCTCACAGAAGATTCTGAAGATTCATGTTTCTTTGATGGCTCAAGCATTGCTGATACAGAGTCGAGTGGTTATGAAACTGATTCTCCGATCACGAACGCTGAATAAAATATTTACTATGATCTTGAGTCTAACTTATCGGCTTGGTCGAGCGATGAAAAAAATCTTGATAATTAATATTTCATAATAATATTTGAATATTTCATAATAAATGTTACTCTCAATTATATTGAAAAATATCAATCTTTTGATGAATTGGATTTTAGTAGCAAACTGGAATTTTTATCTTATGTCGACTCAAACTCGAATTAATTCGCTAAGACCTTTTCAATTGTTAAAGTCGTGTGGAGTTAGTCAATCAATTATTTATTACGAAGCGTTCTTTGTATTAGATTTTAGTCGTTATTGAAATATAATAGTTATTGAACTATATAATATTTTTAAATCTTCCATCAAGAAAACTGACCTCTCGGTGGTTGAATTTGTTGACGTATAAAGCGTTTACGTGTTACGTATAAAGTATTTCATTTAAATGTTACGTATAAAGCGTTTAATTTGCGTGTTACATATAAACTGTTTGCATGATTTCTGTACTGACGTATTTATGTTGCATATTTTTGAAAAATTAATTTTTGAACAACTTAGATTCTTATAGCATCTCTATAAGTATTGTGAAGTGACCATGTTAATGTCTAAAGTAATTATTATTTACAGACTGCCGTGATAGTATAATTTTAATTAATTATGTCGTCAATTATACAAGTACATTGGTTTGAATGAGTGTATGATAAACTTTTTATTCAATATTTGTCGATAAAAATGTAATCAATTTGACGTATGTACACTTTTTACAAGGTAAACCCATGTGTTTGAATTTAAACGTTTAATATAACGTCACCCGTAAGAAATACATTGTCCCCAATTTTAAGCACTTCTAAACGTTTAAATTCAGCGACAATATATTTCTTATGGGTGACGTCACAATTGCACACTTAAAACGTTTAAATTTAAACACACAGGATTTTAAGGTTTTGCCGTATTAAGTTTTAGTTTCAACGTAATTATTTTTATGTAATTAATTTGATTAATAAATGAAGCCAAATATTGAATGTAATTGTTTCTCGTATACAAATAAATATTGCGCTTTTTTTTAAATTAAATAACATGTATTTGTGACTTAATATTTTATAGTCAAGATATAATTTGTTATGATATTTATGTATACAAATTTTTGACAAAAAAAATCGTTTTAATAAAGTATTCCAAACGAAATTATTGTGTGTAATTAATTTACTATTATACTACTTTAAATAAATCGAAGAATAATTTTATAATTAAAAAAAGCATTATAATAGAATATTGTAATCCCGGCTGAATATTTTGATCAATCTTTTCCTTTAGAAAGATCCAAATATTAAGTCTATAAAGTCGATACTAACCGAGATGAGGGACAAGTGTTAGTATTTTAATTAACTAGTACGTTACCTGATGAGATGAGGGTGGAAAGGCATACGACTCGAGAAGCTTTTCCTCGAACATGATATCTGCGGTATTTTTTGAAACAACGTGTAGAGTGTACGAATTTTAGCATGCTATAGAGTCATACGCGTAAAGTATTCGCACGGTATCTTAAAAGATTATGGATTTCATAGATACCCAAATAAAAATAAATATCATCTATAAATTAATAATGTGAAATCCTAATTTCGTTTATTAAACCATCAATTATAGTCAGTATTGTTAAATTACATTCTAAAATCCATAGATGTCGTGTGCTATCAATTAATTAAATATATATAATTTAAGAATTATAACTGATAAAAAACTGATAAAATAGTACACATTGAGCCATCTCTTGGCAAGAGAATTGAACTTAAATATGTCTGGAACAAAGAGCTCATCTTGAAAGCTGAGCTATATGAAGGGAGGCCGAGAAAGAGAGTTAAGAGTGCAATTAAATAAGTTCTCGTCTCGTGTGGTGTTAACCCCGATCGAAGTGAGGGTGAAAAGGCATACGAGACAAGAAACTCTTTCCGAACACGTGTCGTCGAAAAGTGCGATAGAACCCATGTTAAGGAAAGAGATTCTATTGTCGCGTGCCACTTATGTCCAAGCGTAGGGCTGAAAAGGCTCACGAGATCAGAATCTATTTTCCTTTGTATCGTGATGTAAAATTATCTCGGCGTTGGGGAAACCCCAACGACAGTTTGTTAGGCCATTTTGAACTGCTGTTGTAGTAAACCCTTGTTGGGCGCGACGTGACGTCTTTTTTAAATAGCAAGAGGCGGAGTCTCGATGTATCATTGGTCGGGAATATTCCCACCACTAGTGGCCACTGGTAGGTTAAGTAAAGCCCAATGGGTGCTACACGGTAGTCGTTAGTTATATTCTAGATGCTAAACTTGTCAATTGGTGCATTTTGCTATCGGAGTGCCTCTTGCTCCTCTCTAACTTTGTCGCTGAGTGATTTACAAATTGTTTTGTGGTAAGTTCTTTTCTATTTTCAGATCATATATATACGTTCGATATATTTTTCGTATACATTCAATATAGATGTCTGAAATTACTGGCTTTCTGATTCATTTTTTATTAATGAACTTTAAAGCAATTCGAGTCCAAAAAAAAGTTTCTTCTATTTTATGCAGTATCTGAATTCGAACGCAAAATACCTATTCCATGAAAAACATAAAATCACGATTGGATGGAGTTTAAACTCGATGTTTAATTTTTTCCAGATTTCTACAAGTCATCAAAATGTGCCGAGCGTTAGAGATCACATTGCGGAGAACACTCAACAAAAAGCACTTTATAAAATTTTGCTCGGTCGTCCATCGCATGAATTTCTCACGGGATCGTAGTGGCTACGAGTTGCTCGTTGAGGCAATTAAATTAAAGAACAAAAATATTGTACATATTTTATTAGACAACGGAGTGCAAATATTTAAAATGGACGGAGTCTGGACACCATTGCACCTTGCAGTGTGCAAAACTGGCTGGTCAAGAATCGTCAAGAGATTGCTCGAGAAAGGTGCGAAAGTCAGCGACAGGAACGATAGCGCGCAAACGGTTCTACACGTTGCCTTTGCTCACAAGGCTCCGAACTCACTCATAGACATGCTGCTCACGAAGTACCTGGAGAAATGCGAAGATAATTTAACGGACGCCGAGAATTTGAGTTTTTTGGACATCGCTTGTACGAGGCCCCACATACACTTCGTTAAACGTTTAATAACAGAACATTACTTTGCTTTAGCTCATCACGTAAGTATCGTTGCTTGTAAAAAAATTAATCTTTTGAAATGATTGTGTAGCCTTTCAAAATTTATTCGTTTGAAATAATACCCATCTCGTGAATTTCAGCGAGTTGCAATGTTTTCCGAGGAATCTTACGCCGGCTATACCCCCATCCATTTTGCCGTGGCTTACGGCCAACTCGAGGTAGCTCAATACCTTCTCAACATTTCCTACAGCCTTATCTACTTGGTCGACCGAACACTTTCAACGCCATTACATCTGGCTGCCCAAAACAGAGATATAAGGATGATCGATCTTATTTTTCAATACGACAGAGAACAAAATGTTTACGTCAATAGGTAATTTTATTTATTTTTTTCATCAAGTTTCATTTCGTAGACCCTTTATAAATGAATTACTCTTGTTTCTTTGATAACATTTTCATTGCGTAGTTATTGAGGTTCAGAGTAAGAGTAATTATTTATTTGTATAATTTTACAGCTTTGATCGCGCGCTTTTATCGATTGACGGCAAGAGTATTTCCTTTGAAAACAAATTTAATGTAAAATGAAACAACAAAAAGATAAGTTTCTCCGCGACATATGTAACTAATGATTTATACTTATTTTTCAGTAATGGATTGACCCACTTCATGATAGCTTGCATGGGTAGTGAGGGGAGTGTCGTTCAAAAGTACTTTGATGCATCGGACGAGCGACGATTGATGTTGTCATCGTATGACTTGGTGTCTTCGCGCGTGGAGGAATCAGATACATACGAGGGATACACTCCGCTGCATTTCGCTGCGGAGTTTGGGCGTAGCGTCACAATCGCGATACTTTTCCATAATGGCGCCGATTGTTCTATAAGGACCCACTCCGGGTTAACCGTTCATGATTTGGCACAAGATAACGTGGCTGATATCATTAATAACTATTGTACTATTTTCGGGAAATGTACTCAAAGGATTCTTGAAAATCAGTATGATTTTATGGATTTAAATGGAAATGACATGTAGATATAAGATAGAAAATGGAGTTACCTATTTTAAAACGCGTTCGTCTATTACAAGTCCTTGATTATCTTAAGAATTTAGTGTAACATTACCTAGCTTTAAGCAGTCACTTTTTTGTTTAGAAATTAACGTTAAACGAAAATTGTTAATTATCTTATTCGTAGTATATATTCTGCACCAATTTTATTAGACTTTTAAGAAACCTATAAAAACCAAAAACTATGTCATTTAAATCTTTTGTATGCGATATTACAACGAAAAAATGTATTAAATAAATAAAAGTATATTAATATATAAAAATATATAAATTTGTAAGACACTAAAACACCTTTTTTAAAATGAGGAAATGATTATGCTATGACGTTAAGTAGTTATATAATTGTAAGCTTAATTCTTGAATAGTAGTATTATTATCATAAAAAAATGTTTGATTATTAGAATATTAGTTTGTGGCTAAAGGATCGTAGTCATTAATGTTCATGATGATATTTAAAAAAATCTAATTGTGTTCGTTTCTACATTCGACGTATGGACTTCCATTTTTTGAGATAAAAATTATTTTTTTTAATGATAATGTACATGTTTCAAATGGATTTCAAAAAGATATGAAATTTTACGATCGAGAAAAAAACATTGAAGCATTCCTGTTATAGATAATAACAATACGTTACCGTATTATTACCGCTCCATAAAACTCTGACCATAGCATTCGCGTATCACTCGGTGCCGGTGATTGGAAGATTCTCGACCAATCGAAAGCCGAGTATCGGTGAAAGAAAGGAAGTCGCGCACGCGCGCCCCTCGTGTTCTTTTTCCCAGACAGCACGTTAAAAATACCTACGACATTTTTTGTTGAGCTTTCTGTATGAAATCTGTATGAAATTTTTATAATTACCTAAGCAAACAATGTACGCAATGGAAGAATCCGCATACGAGTTATGCATAAAATATTTAAACCACTTTGCTTATCTTAAGAATAAAGATAATAAGATGAAAATGTTTATTCAGTTATATTTTTCCCTGATGATATTTATCCGTTTATAGATGATAAGCTGTTTGCTATTGCTTACTTCAAACCGTATAGTGATATTTACAGTATTCTTCTGACAGTAAAATGATGATTTTGATAAAAAATCGCCTCGGTAGTGAATGAAAAGTTGTCAAAATTAAAATATATGAAAATTAGTAATTTATGATTCCGTAATTGAGAACAATATCAGATCACTAATTTTTTGTTTGTAAAAATTTTTTGTCTTCCATTCTTCGCCTAAACAACCAAAATGATGAATACTTTCTCATGAATATACAACTAATTTTTGCGTAAATGTATATGGCAGAGATGATTCACGAAATAATAGTTATTATTTTTTTTTGTACATTGGGAGTTTTCCTGCTGAAAAATACCTGTTTTTAATTAAACGTTTACGGAGGTGTAAAACATGTGGGTCAACAAGTTCTCTTTACTCAGTTCGAGGTAACATTCAAAGCTCGCTTGTTGAATCGTTATTATTTATTTTCATTGATAAACCCAGCGGTCTTTTTATAAATAGTGCGCGACAGAAAATTCATTTAAAACGTCAAATTCTGTCAGATTAATCAACATATATCACTTTTGAAATTTCTTTGTGTGAGTACAGAATCATATTTTTCAATATAGTAAAATAACTTAATAATTAATGATTTAAGCGAAGTTGATTTTTTGAAATGTATGGAAATTGAAGATTCAAACGATTTTATTAAATATTTAGAAAAAATATGTCAATCAAAAAAATTTATTTTCATTACGTTTAACAAGTTTAGAAATGTATGTTTTTTTTTTTATTGAAGTATTTGACCTATAACAGAAAATAATAAGATTATAATTAGGTAAGTCAATTTTCGACACTCCATGCGGAAAGTGCGTTTTTCCCGTACGCTCGGCAAAAAACGTGCGTTGAAAATTGCACTTTCCACACGTTGTATCGTAATGTACTATTATAGAATGTCAATTGTTTATGCAGCTGATAGGGAGTCAAAGAATATAATAATGTGGATGTGTATAATAGTACATTACGATACAAGTACGGGAAAGTAGATTCTTGTCTCATGGCGTTCACGCCCAAGCGAAGCGAGCTAAATATGTGCCGTACCGTATTTTTTTATACGACGTGTGGAAAGTGCGATTTTCAACGGACGTTTTCTGCCGAGCGTGCGGGAAAGACGCACTTTGCGCACGGAATATCGAAAATCAATTTTCGCATGGCAGGAATTTTAATTACTTACATTAATATACATGTCGATAGGTAACAGTAAATATGAGGTTCACTATTATGTTTATTTTTGCATTAATTGCAATAACTATTGCTAAAGACTCAAACAACGATCCACCTGAACCACATCTCTGCCCATGCCCAAGAAACTATATGCCGGTATGCGACAACGAAAATAACCAGCACAATAACGCTTGTCTATTTAAATGTGCCAAAAAATATTATGCTAAACGTGGGAAAGGTTTGCTATTCCAAATATGTACTATTCAAAATTTAGGTTTCTGTTTTTAATTTGTCATTTTTGTTTACTGTCTAGAAATCTTTGTTGTCAAAGCAGGACCTTGCTGAAAGCTAACTTTCCACATAAAACTGCATCAACAATTAAATTAAAATGTACTTTTTTTAATAAATTAACTAGTTGAAATAATATTTTTTTGTATATTTTTTATCCTTTAGCACAGTTATGCTAGTATTAATTTTCGTACTTGTAATACTTACAACTGCATTCATATATTTTTTCCTTGATTTTGAACTCTGATACATTATTATTCTGCCTAGCACCTCCAACCGGAAATAGCTGAATTTTGTTTTACTCAATACATGACTTCATATTTATATTATAAATTAAAATGAATGTTAGCAGCAAATCTTAGAAAAGAATCGAAATTACTCTTCGTAACTCTTGCGCTAAGTAAAGCTACGGTAATGAATGTTTAGCTTTGATAGAAGCTATACAATAAGAGTCAAAAAATAATCATAGATAAGTAAGTTATCGAATAAAAATGAATGTCAACTTTTTGAAAATTATTGAAACGATATTTCGAAAGTGATATTTGTCTGGTTAAACTCTTGGCTGGTTCAGAGTGTTCGGGCCGCTATGAGGCATGTCAGCCATCCGTTTGCGAGATGCGGCGAGGAAGAGCGCACGCATTGCGAGCATGTGAGCAGGGTAGCACAGGATCTACGAGTACATATAGCGTATATATGCCAATAGGGTGTGCGTACCGCGTCGTATAGTGGGCTACTCCGTTGGACACCCGTCATGGTTCCCACTTAGGTGGCAGTAGCGCTGTTGACGGTCGAAGGCTACCGGAAGGTTGCCGAATGAGGTTGCAATGTGGAATGGATCGAGAGATCGAAAAAATTGTACGAGTGTGAGCTTAGCCAAACTTACACTCGTGAGGTGAGAAGAAGAATGAGATTGGTAAGGTAGAAACGTTTCGTGCCGGTGTTACCGGCTGGACTCGTTAGTGAGGCTCGGCGGTCGGTAACTTTTGTCTCATACGCTCGAAGTGTTCAGGACATTCTCCAAGCTTATAGATTCAATAAGCGAATTTCCTGTAGTTTGCGGATGGCTGACACTATCTAGAGGGTGGGTGAACCGCGAAACCGCCACAAGCTGTTGGTCGAAAAACATAGGAAACATCTGTTTAGTAAGCTTTTTCACAATGAAGTTTACCGACTGAGTTAGAAACAGAACAGACTCGACAAAACAGAACCGCCTGGGTTATAACTCAATTCAAATTCTGGAATCCTCTCAGAGTAAGCAAAGAATACCAGTGTTAGGAAGATTATTATTTTAATTTGGAATTTGGCGAACGCATGCTTTATTTGTCAGCACGTTAAATATTTTTTGAGAAACAATTTCAACGAATGGAAACAAATAAATTGATAATTGCAAAGTAAAATTTACTTACAAGAATTTTTGAACTATTACGAAAATTAACAATTATATTTTACAATAATTTAAAAATTAATTTTTAATATATTATTGGTTTATGGCAGTGCGTTAATAATATAGTCCAACACTTCTTAGATCCAGAAATAGGAATATACATTTCCGAAGCATTGTAGAGTGCTAAATATGAATCTGAGGACCAAATTGATGAATGGGTTCTAGTTCTCGGAATATCCTAACCTAAAAGTACAAAAATATCGACTTTTATGCCTTTTTGAAGTTATATAGCATTGTCACAGCATTTTTCATCCAAAAACTGTTATTACTTTTTAACATGTCATTTTTCCTATCTCATCACAAACAACATAGCAAAAAAAACTGTCTCTTGCGGAGAGGAGAAAAGACTGAATAATATATTTTTTTAATTTTGTATAAATTATGCAGGAGCCGTTAATTTCTTTTCCGAGAACAGAAACTTAGTGTTGAATTGTTTGTGTGTAAATCTCTTAACTAAGATCTGATGTGTCAATTCGCAAACGTGATTTTTGTTATTATATTTGTTGTGGGGGAGAAGGGCAATTCTTGAGAAGCATTCGCACCACTAAAACATAATCATTCAATCGGTTCTACAGAAAGAACGGCAGGAATACTCTAGTACCTAGAGTGCCAAATTTAATACTGGACCTACAGCATAAGCTAGAACATCGGGTACACCTGCTTAGAATCGAATCCTAGACTCTCGCATGGGGACCGATGTTTTACTTAGAGTAACCCACCGTACCTCTTCGTGTTCTCTTAGACTGTGATCGTGCCGGCTATAGAGTTATCATTGGAAATTTTTTTTCCAGGATCCTTAAAAATTATTGCGTTATTTTAAACGGGATAATTTATAAGGATCCTAAGAAAAAATTTTCCAACGGTAACGCTGACTGTCGACTACAGTCTCGTTTCTCTGGAGTCGGTTACCCTGCGTCGCAATACTACAGCTTTACATGGGTGCGGAAAGCGGACAGAGCGGCAGCGGACAAAAAGAGAAAGTTTTGTTCGCTAGCGAACAGACGCTCTCCGCTGCGTCCCTAGCCGACGTCTTGTGTGGTGCATCCCTTTTCCCCCTCTCCTCTTATTTGTAGCGTCCCTTTCTATTATTCTAAACATGCTATAATTATAATTTTCTTATATATATACGACATATAAATTAATATTGTCGAGAAAATTATAATTATAGCATGTTTAGAATAATAGAAAGGGACGCTAGAAATAAGAGGAGAGGGGGAAGAGGGATGCACCACGCAAGACGCCGGCTAGGGCCGCTGCGGACAAAACTTTCTCTTTTTGTCCGCTCGAATCGGCTGTCCGCTGCCGCTCTGTCTGCTATCCGCTCCCATGTAAGAGCAGCCTTTCTCTCTCGAGTCACGCATTGTGTACCTTCCTTGAGTAAAATTTGCATCTATATATAGATAAGGTTCCTGACCTCTTGCAGAATGAGATGCTATGCGTTCGCGGTGATGGGGACTTTTAGTTCTTTTCTACGCGACAAAGAAGGATATATTTTTAGTTTAATAAGTGCAGAAGTTTCTACGTCTCTTTTGTTTAATATTGCAAAATTATTTTATTTTAGAATTGGCATTTCACCCTTTTACGTGCTTTTTCATTTTGATGAAAAATATTTTCTTCAATTTTGAAATTTATTGGACTTTGAAAATTTGCTAAAGCTTCGTCATTGTTAACAAGCGTGGGCTCGAGAACTAATTAGTGCAAATTATTAGATGTAAATTTCGAGCTATATAAGTGGATATCGAGAACTTTGGCAAAATGTAAGGTTTTCACATCAAGGATGTATTTTATTCATTTTCAATTTATTTGAAATAAAAATAAACTTGCTGCAACTTAAATACTAAAAAACGGGGAAGTATGAAAAACTGACATATGTCTCTTTTAAACCCGTACGAAACATTTCGAGATTGTAAAATAGGTAAATTGAAAAATATATACAATTAGCCGCATTGAAACCCGAATATTGAAAGCTTGTAATTTTCCTAAAATTAATTTTTTTTCGTTACAAGTTAAAATGCGCGTCGTAAAATTTAACACCAGGTCTCTGCGGAAAATATATTTGTTTCTTTGGCACAATGTCTGTGCTTTTCGTATGAAAATTAGTTCAGTATGAAAGGTGATTTGATAGAAAATTGTGACGAATTTAAAGGAAGCACGATTGAGTTTTATTTCATGAATTGACGGAGGATACAACTGAGAGCGTATAAACTCGTCGAAGGCTCTCAGCTAACTGACTGTCGACTCCTGCAATAGTCGTCACTCTTAGTCTTAAAATCAAAAAAAAAGAAAAGCAGAAAAACGAGACGAGTGTCGAACCGAAACATAGTCGATAGTACAAAGAGAGAACTTGACACTATCTCAATGATGCAACGAGGCACCGCTTTTCATAGAATTACTTAAATTAAATACAATGAGTGAATAATAAATGAATGTCAGTAAACAATATAAATGAATTATAATTATATGCAAATAACGTGAATATTTCTTACCACTTATCGTACAGAATTCATGCGTACCTTTATAACGTTGCTTTTTTTCAAGTCACGGGTGTTCTTCGAATCAAGATTATCCTTTAAGATTAACAGATTAACGTCCGTTAAGATTAATAGTTAAGAGTAGAATTCATATATTTTTTGAAAAAGAGTATATGTGCGTAAATATACATGCCTTAAACGTGCGTTGGAATTTCATTACAGCGGAACTCGAAAAACCGCAAATCAAGAGTTGTGAGACAAGAGAGTTTACATCACTCGAAGCTCACGCGCACATAGAGTCGTAGATACCATACATACGCTATACCTAACCATTCCTGTTTTTCTTTATTCTCAAAAAATAAAGTATGCATTTTTAATAAATTGGAATATAAGAAAATTAACTGGATTATAGGAGAGAGAGAGAGAGAGAGAGAGAGAGAGAGAGAGAGAGAGAGAGAGAGAGAGAAAGAGAGAGAAAGAGAGAGAAAGAGAGAAAGAGAGAGAGAGAGAGAGAGAGAGAGAGAGGAGAGAGAGAGAGAGAGAGAGAGAGAGAGAGAGAGAGAGAGAGAGAGAGAGAGAGACGGATATAATATAGATTGGCTCAAATACAAACTAATAAACTATTATATTTTTATTTGTTTCGTATTTTTCAGGGAATGGAAAATGTTGCATTTGTTGATCGCGATGTACCAAAATAATTTCCAAAATTTTTGTATGATTTTTGAAAAAAACAACTGGCCGAACGATTTAGCAGATTCGGGTCACTTCTTGCTTAATGTAGCGATCAAATTCAAAAGGAAAGAATTTGTCCATTACCTGTTGAACAAAGGTTGCCAGGTATATATAAAACCTGGTATCTTGACGCCACTACACTATATAGTTATGAATACTGGTTGGGAAGATGTAATTCATCGATTAGTTTCTTTCAAATGTCCCATCGATGCAAAGTATACAAAGTATAAAAGCAATACTGCCATTCATTATGCCTTTTACAACAAGCTTTCCAATAGTACAATTGATCTGCTGCTATGGTTTTATATTAATAATAATGATCCCATCGAGAATGTCACTAACGACGATGGATTGAGTTTCTTGCACATCGCTTGCTCGAGAGAGAATCTCACTGTCATTGAAAAACTTATTAACGCTAATCCAGCTGCTGTCAATGTTTCGGTGAGTGGTTTTATCAGTGAAACTTATCAATGCGCGAAGCGCATGATTCTTTTAATATTTGTTGCAGGAAAAGCAATCATTTTCAACTCCGTTGCATTTTGCGGTGCAGTACCATAGGCACGAAGTAGCCATGTGTCTTCTGCAAAATAAAGCTGACATTTATAAACAAAATCACGATAAATCGACACCCCTGCATTTAGCACTCAAACTTAACGATGTTGGTATGATTGGAATCATTATGAAATACGATAAGCGAAAAGAAAATGTCGTTGACAAGTGAGCTGTACTTTGTTTAATTTAAAAAAAACTACGCGGTGAACTATTAATTAATTTTGGTGGTTTCTTGTGATAGCGTGTCCCGTATATACATTTCACATGACATATTTCACGTGCAATCGTATAATTTTATCGTATAATTTGCGCAGCTGCATCAACTGGACATACACCTTATACCCTTGCACAGAAAAAGGGACATCATTCGATTTACTATATTTTAAAGGAGTATTGCAGAGTATCGAAAGACTGCTGTAAAACGACTTCTGTTGTTTTTAATGCTGCACAATTTATTTTGTTGCCTCATAAAAATACGAATGTAGCACCGGTAGAACCACCAACGCCAAAAGTGAAGCGACCTCGGATGCTGCATAGAACTCTCTCCGACTTGCCGTGTCCTCAAGAAGGATCCCAACAATTGCCATCAATTACTATACCTATTAATGCTATTAACAGACCATTGGAAAATAATGCGGCTACATCACAGTAAGAATAATATTAGTTTTAGTATCCAGCTTGCTGAAAAAAATATTTAACATAATTTTTCTTCAACTTCGAGGAACACAATATCTAACAAGCCAGAGCTTGAAACTTCAGTTAAAGAACAATTAACAAAGGCATTGTTCCAAAATAACGTCGAAAAATTTCTATCAATTCTAAAAGAAAAAGGTTGCTCATTAGAGGATTTCAAACGAACCCTCTTAAAAGAGTCGATCATTCTCGAACATAAACCTATAGTTTTAACTCTACTCAACAAAAATTACTACGTGCACAAATATTGGAATGCGAATGCTTGCGATCAAACGCCATTACACATGGTTGCAACGAAAGTCGGATGGACCGATGTAGTCAAAAGTTTATTAAATCAAGGATTTCGTGCTGATGATAAAAATAACGTAGGCGATACACCGTTACACCTCGCATATTTCATTAATAATGTGTAAAGTACGATCGATGTTTTACTCGAGAGTCATATTGCCACTGACTACCAGAATTTAAAAAAAGAGCATTTTGGCTTTCTTCATATCGCTTGCACGAGGCCAAATCTTGAGGTTGTCAAGAGACTTGTTGAAGCAAATCACCTAATCAATATGCCGGTGAAGTGTAAATTGAAAATTATAACGAAAAAATTTAATCAGAACATATATAATAACTTATTGTTCAAATTTCAATTAGTATTCTAAACACAATGCTACACCTTTACACTTTGCGGTAACGTTCAGGAGACAAGAGATAGCAGAGTATCTCATTAAACATGGTGCTGACATTTACGCACAATGTAACGATGGATCGACCGCGTTACATTTGGCACTTACATTTATCGACGCCCGCATGATTGATCTCTTACTAGCTCATGATAAAATTCATATGGACATCGAGAATAAGTAAAATTTTTGTTATAATCGCTAGTTTTTTATTATTTAATTATAAATTTATTGACCATCGCAGATAATGGAATTACTCACTTTATGGCAGCATGTGCCGGGACAGATCCAAGGATCGCGCAAGAATACTTGAAGAATGGCGAAATGCAACACAAGATATCACTGCATAGCATAATCTCAGCTCAAGTAAAATATGTTTTTAACCTTAAGATTTCAGGTTATGCACCTCTGAATTTTGCATCGCAATTAGGTCATACAGTTACGGTCGAATTACTTCTTAGTTATGGTGCTGATTGTTGTCTTGCAGCTGTGAATGGGTTGACTTGTCACATGCTCGCAAAAATGTTAGGGGTAAAACACGATGTTTCTAGCATTTTAGAAGAACACTGTAATGTTGTTAAACGTTGTAGAATAACTAGAGCTTAGAGCCCGGATTACGGGAAATGGGATGAAAAGTACGAGGATAATGTTTTACTGGAGAGGACAAGGACAATCAAAAGTCTTAAAAGAAATTTACTTAGTTTTAAATCAATGAGTTCCTCCAAGGATTTTATTCATATTAATACATGAATTATACGTATTTGATATCTCTAACATAGATTCATATACACTTGCCGATCCTTGAAAATCTCATATTAACCATTTTGATTATCAATTTATTTTAATAATCACCATAAGGTTTAAAATCAAAATAATTAAAAAGCAGAATTATACAGCAATAAAAAATAAGAATGACTTATATAAAGATTAAGATTGACAATTAAGAATGACTTATATAAAGTATCATCTAAATAAGCAGGTTAGAAGGTGGTGCCACAACAGCAAGCTTCCACGTTGGTTTTTTTTTTATATATACCCAGCCTTGCTGCTTCAATTGTTCACGTAATATTTGATTTGGGGAACTCATTACCGCGTCGTTGTTCAACTGTCTGAATGTTTTAGGTTTGTGTTTAACTTTAGTGCCTGAAGACACTGGATTAGAGTTATTTCCCGTTTTATCGTGGTTCATCAAACAGTTGTTAAACTTGGCATCCTTTAATAGCATCACTTCCTTCGATGATTTATTCATCGGCTTTGTTGTTCTGATGAATGCGTTGCTCTTCACAGCGGTATTAAACTCTTTGATCTCCTTTTTGGCAATCAATAATTTCTCACGATTCTCAGCACTACACTTTTCATGGGCATCCCTCGTAGCAATAGAAAATAACAGTTCGTACTTGTGTCGCCACATGTTGATTTTTCTTTGTCGTTGTGTTTTACTTGCATTTTTGTACTCGTTCTTCATGCGATTGAATTTCAACAGTATTTGTTCCAAATACTTGATTCCATTACTCTCAGTAGTTGTTGGTATTTCGTTGTCATTCCAAATCTTAAAACATTTAGACAATGTCATACGAACGACCGATCGATTTGATTTTGTTGGTAAAGCATGACGACGGTTAAAGTAATAACGAAGCATATCGCCATTAGTAGGCAGGTTTGGACCTTTCAAGTCATCGATGTCGAACTCCAAGAACAGCAATTCAGGACGAGAACATTTCTTAAACTGTGTCATCGTACCAATCACTGGCAATGCAAAACTGATCAATGAATTGTGAAACTAGTTATTGCTCTTAAACTGGTGGAGAGAAAGAAAAATATTTTGATAGAGGCAAAGCTAAAGTATAACTTTTCAGCTGACGTTTGTACCAATACAGAAAATTTCTTAATAAAAAACTTACCTATCTTAAAAGTCTTCATTTATTCTCAAACTTCAGTTTATATATTTACGCATGCAAAAAGTTTTCCATAAATATTACGAACGATTTATAATCAGATCAGTTGTAAATATTCGTTTGAATTTTTTAAATATTCTTATATTCGTTCATTTTCCTGCTTTGCTATTTAATTATTTTTAATTCATATTTTTTAGCTTAAATTTATCACCGAATCCAGTCAGGTGTACCACAATTTTGAAGAAAATTAGAATAATATTGTAGCTAACTAAAAGCAGTACCGATAAGAACTTTGTAGATAGAGTTCTACTAAAATGTATATGTACTTTTATCTACAGATGAGATTTAATTTTTAAAATACATCACTTTTATTTCTTTTTTTAAAGAATTTTCATGAAATTTAGTAATTAAAATCAATTGATAAATGTTGACATAATAACGATTATTCAATAAAAATACTACTTAATAGATGAGTTGTTATTTAAAACAAGATGATTTTAATCGATCAAGCAAAATGAAAAAGTTTATTATGGTTATGGTGTTCAAGTAAATCCAATTGAACACGCTATACTGTATAAATTCAAGTATAGAAGATCATGAAAACGGGCAATCCGCTTAGTAGCTTATTGGTGCACGTCTGAACTTCAGTCGTAGAAGTTGAACAGTGCAGGCTATCATTTGCGAGCGTCAGTTTCCAAATCGAGGCATGGTGAGATATATTACCTCACTAATATATTCGTGAATTTGTCGTTTGTGTTTGAAAATTCATCGATCTTCATCAACATGGCTCAACCATTGCAAAATGTGTCAATCGCTCCAGTCATACCAGTGTTCGACCAAAACAGTTCCGAATACGCAGCAATAATGGTGGCAATCAAGTATGATCACAAACGCACTGCAAAAATTATACTAAATAATCCATCATCTATGATCATATCAAAATTACAAGAGATTTTAGTCGCCGTAGTTATTACGAGACCTGGATGGACGGACGTGATTGATCAATTGTTCAAGGTTGGAGCTAAACCTGAAATGCAAAATGTAAATGGAGATACTATCTTGCATGTCGCCTTCAACAATCCTACTTCGTATAGCATTGTTGATTCACTGCTAAAACGTTATCTAAGCAGGAGCTACTTGAATCTTGCGAACTTCAAAGGTATCAGTATTTTACACATCGCCTGCACGAGACCAGACATGGATGTTATCGGACAATTGCTTGATGCTAATCCTCCTGACGCGATTCATACGGTGAATATTATTATCATATGCTTATGAAAAATAAGCGCCGCATGACGAAATAATCACTTAAAAACTTATTGTATTTCTAGAAAGAAGAGTCCGAACTTACTCCCTTGCATTATGCAGTGATGTGTGATAGACTTGAAGTAACTAATTTCCTTATCCAACGTGGAGCTGATATTTACGAAGTAGATGGCAACAGATCAACACCGCTACATTGGGCACTCTATCGGCGCAGTGTTCCGATTATCGACTTGCTTCTATCGATGGATTCGCGAAAAACAAATTTGACCAATGTGTAAGTTTTTTTTATTGGTTTATGTATATTCATAATTTTCAATGGAAAATGTAGATCTCATTGTTTAAATTGTTAAATTATATTAATTTAATTTCTAGTCACGGTCTGTCGCACTTCATGGCAGCGTGCGCGGGCAGCGATGAAACAGTCGTCGAGTATTTTCTCCTTAATGGACGTTCCAAAGACTTGGTCAAGAATAAAGTTTTCAATTGTGATTATTTTACAGATTATACCCCTTTGCACTTTGCCGTTCAATTGGGCCGTTATAAAACTGTTGAACTGCTTCTTCATGAAAAAGCTAATTGTTGTGCTTCTGCTTATAATAACCTTACGCCACATGCACTCGCTGAATTCAGAGGAAACAAGCGTATAAGGGAATTATTGCAAAAACACTGCTTGGAAAAAAAAGGATTGAAAATGATATCTTAGTCCGGATTTTCATCAATGGGCTCAAAAATACAAGTAATCGTTTCCCACAAAGAGTTTTTACGATCAAACGTCTTTATAATATGTATAACAGTTTCATCCAGATGCAATTTAACAATAAACTTTGTTAAACTTGAGTCTAAAGGAAAAAGTGTTTGGACTGATTTCGATTAAGAGTAATAAATAACTTTGAGACCTTCGTATTTAAGTGGGAACGATTGGACGATTGGAAAAACTGAGGCGATTTCAAGATTAAGCCACTTGTAGGTCATAGGTTATTTGTAATTAAACTTTTATTAACGTTATTTGTAAAAATATTTTTTTATTATTTGTGAATAACCATAATAAAAATTTAAAAAATGTATATATTCAATGCAACGCGTGTGAAATATTTTTATTGAAAATCTAAAAATATATTATTCTAGGTTTTAATTTGTATTGCTAGTTTTTAACAGAAAGCCATTTGAAATATCCTAATAATACCTGCTACTTATCTGTGACAAAAAAAATTAATATGAAACAGAAAAAAATTGTTCAATAAAAAATTGCTTGTTATAAGTAGATTTAATTATATTGAATACTTTTCGACACTCCATGCGGAAAGCTCGTACTTTCCACACGCTTCGGTCAAAAACGAACTTTTTATACGTCGTATCGGAAAATACTATACGATATATGTTCAGGAAAGAGATTCTCGCTTCACTCGGGCATAAACGCCACTCGAGACGAGAATCTGCTTTTCCGCACTTGTATCGTAATGTATCATATTGTGAACGCATTTGTTACAAATCATCTTTTTTCGGTTGATACAAATCATGATTTATCTCAAATTTAATAGCCACAAGAAAACTAGTCTATACCATAATTCTATTAGCTTCAAAGTATTTAGGTAGTGACCAAAGAAATGAATTCTAATCAGGGCTTCAGCTTGTATAAGCCCCATTTCAGATTGAATCTTTTTGATGTCCAAATTAGTTAGATTACCGTATATAATAAGTTCTTAGTCGAGTTTTCGGGGTATTTTTATATTGAATTTTCATTGGTTGTGATTGATATTTCTCGTATGTTATACTCGTTTTCCACTGTTTCCAGGTGTGGTCTCGCCGAGTTTTGGTTTGTTGTCGAGGATACACGTCTAGTGCGCGGGGCATGTTTGCTGCATGTTCGGGAGTCGCGTCAATACTAATGGTAGATCACGATTCGGCTGGCTATGCGCTTCGCACCATTCACGTTGTATTCTGTATCTATACAGTCACATCACCCGCCCACTCATGTACAGATATTTTTTCTTTTGTTGATAAAGTGAATTTGAGTTAAGCGAGTTTTACAAGCCCGACACATTATTCAGCCGTGAGAGCGTTTACGCTTTCCGAATCCACTCCTTAAACAATTTGTCGCAATATAACTTTTCGGGTTGTTGGCCGTTTTCTCCGTTACAACGCTAATAAATGTCAAAATGATTTTGCGCGGCAAAACAGGGGAATTTTTGGATACGGCATAGTAAATTACAGTCATTTGTATATTAAAGTCAAGAATAGACTTGCTAGGACTGATTCATAAATCTTTACCTGCCCAGAGATTAGGAGGGTATTCCATTTAATATCTGACGCGGCTTTTGGACAACTTAATGATCTGTAGTTTCTCTTTCGAATTGTAGTAAATCAGCACGAGGAAACGACGCACAGGGTGAGTCAACTTTAATACTCGATTGGTTTGTGCTAAATTTAACACTAATTAAATACATTTGAATCATACTATTAAGGATCGACAAATTTATGATTGAAAACCTGCTGTAATTGTAAAATTAATGAATAATTTAAGTGATTGTTTGGATACTACAGAAGCATAATCGTAATAAAAAAGCTTATAAATTATTTACCAGCATTTACAATGGATTCTCTGTATTGGAAGGATGATTGGTTTATGGCAATTAAAGACAATAAAGTCAGTAAAATCCACAGTACTCTGACCGAAACCGGTTGGCCTAAAGATTTCGAGTGGTTAGATTATGAGCTTCTCCTCACCGCGCTAACCATGGATCGCGTAGAGGTTGCGCACGTACTGCTTGACCATAATGCACGCCCGGAAAAATTATTCAGCAAGTCAATGCATGCTCCTCTACAGGTCGCTGTGTCAAAACCGACAACAGCGTTGCCAGACCTGATCAGGAAGATTCTTAAGAATGGGGGAAATGCCATTTTAAAGCGAGGTGTAGACCGCCAATCGTCAATTCACGTGGCATTCAATAAAGGAGCACCGGGTGAAGTAATTGATTTATTGTTTCGATCGGTCACGTTGAAAAGCAAGGCTGATTGGGGTGATATCTATGGACTAACCTTTTTACATATCGCTTGCACGAGACCAAATTTGAATATTGTTAAAATGTTTTTTGACGTTAGAAAAAAGGATTATCAGGTATACTAACGTAACATTTTTTTTGCATTATTTTTATAACATTTCTTGAAACAAAATTTAATGCTTTTGGTCAATGCGTGATTGAACTCGATGAAAATAGCTGCTTTCGTCAAATCTATGTCAGATTAAGTCAATCATTGATAAAAGTAGGCTAAAATATGTAAATAATTATGTCACCAAACAATGCTTAAAAAATAACGTTATTGTCATTTGTAAATTTTTTACTAAATAGGTTAAAATATGTGGTTACAACTATGCCGGTTTCACAGCGCTGCATTTCGCTGTATATAGTGGCATGTACGAAAATGCTAAATTTTTGATTGATAACGGATCTAACATTTACCAACGAGATTATAATGAATCAAACCCTATACACTTATCGTTGATACGCCGAAACGTCCATCTGATCGACTTGCTAGTTGCTCACGATAAACAGAGAATAAATATCGTTAACAAGTGATCTCAATTTTTTTTCATACCAAGTAGATTGAATCATTCAACTATTTAAAAATAAAATTGCATACTTTTTAGATTTGGGGTGTCGCACTTCATGGTAGCATGCGCTGGTTCAAGAAAAAACTTCCTCGAAGAGTACCTCGAAGCGGCGACTGATGATTCTTACGATATGATATCGGCTAAAGTAACAGAGGTTGGAGACTGCCAACACTATACACCTCTACATTTTGCAGTGGATGCGGGACAAGCTGATAACGTGAAATTCCTTATTCAAGAAGGCGCTGACTGTTGCTCTGAAGCAGCGGATCATTCGACTCCGCATACGTTAGCTCACAAAAGAGACTACAAAATTATTGGTGAAATCTTGCAGAGGCACTGCAATATCGTGAAAAAGTGCAAACAAAGTAGATCTCAAGATCCAGATTTTAATCAATGGGGCGATAATTACGAGAGAAAAGTTTTGATTAAGTTAGTAAGAGAATTTACGCAGCTTGACCAAACTCTGGAACACTTGATAACTATAAATCAACATTAGATCTGCCAAAATTGTGGGCGGAATATTTTAATGAAAATTGTCATCAGTTAAAAGGATTCAACTTATAAATTTTGAAGTATACTTGGAAAATATTATAGCATTTAATAATTGATTTGTGCTTAGATTTTATCGATTTAATGTACTAATTATTAAGTATTAGATATTGAAGCTCTATTTTTATGATTATTTCAGCTTAAACTAATCGCATGCATTTTTGATTAACAAAATTTTATAACATATTTAACACTCATCATTATTATATATGACTCTTGTATCAAAACAAGTTTTATAACACTAATAAATTAATTTTTAAGTGTAATTTAATTTTTGAGTGTATATACATGATAATGCCTTAGATATATTGTATAACGCAATTCCTAATCCGATGGTTAATCCTGACATTTTCGTCGTTATCGTCCATACTTTCCGTATATATAGATGTGGCGGGAAATAATCCGTAGCAGCTTTGCTGTTTTACCCATGGGGATATTTGAAAAAGTAATATTTTTGATAGAAAAAAAATTATTTATTTAAAGGTACTTAGTTGGATTCATTGATTATAGGTTCTAGAAAATGCAAGGCATAGTACAGGAGACACAGTATAGATAAAAAAATCAATAATTATATTTACTGTTATGAGATTGTAGACCAACAATATGCAATATTTTACTAATTAAGTAATTTTTTTTTAAAACCTGTTAAATTCAGAAGCCATTTTTGCTACGGATTAACGTTGATGCTACGTGAGTAAAATTTATTCTTTTATTTCCTTTTGTAGAAAAGTGTAGAAATTCTTTGAAATTGATCGGCTTACGTTAATTAATCTATTATTACATTAATCGTTGTCTTAGGAGTTTAGCCAATCAAAGTTTTAGAGATTACCTGATTTTCATTTGGATCTTAATAAAACAACTTTTACTTACGTCACACGCAACCGAAATTGTCAAACAACATTTGTAGAACTAATTTCATGTTCTCAAGAGCAACATCGTTTGGTCTACTAAAATTGAAGCGGTTTCAAGACATTTATTTTATTGCAAAATGGTATGTACTGAAAATCTTACGATTTTTGCTAATACATTCCCGCACAGTAAAACGTATTAATTTTCCTTACAATTACGTTTCTTGTAATCCTACATAATCTCATTTTCTTCACAGTCTTTTATAAAAAAGCAAAAAAAAGTATTCAATGACAATTTCAAGAATCTTATACGCCAAGGAAAAAACGCCGAAGTGTTGACTTTGGTAAACCACCTTATTCCAAGAGACTTAATTGATGATTCAGGTACGACGTTGCTGCATTTGGCTGCCATGTTGGGAAACGTCGAATTAATTAGAGCATTGATCGATCTAGGTTGCTACATCAATGCTCGAACCTCATGTCAGATAACACCACTTATGGCCGCCCTTTTGCACAATCGTTTTGAATTGGCAACTGTTTTATTGGAATGCGGGGCTGACTTTTCCACGTCTGATTCTACCGGCAAGAGTGCGACACAGATAATATTCAACAGAAAGAGAAAAGCGCCAAAAGAACTCGTACTACAAACACTTAAACAAATCAAAAAAAGTAGTATTACAAGAGCAGTGAATGAGCTTCTAAGAGCTGATTACCCTTTAGAATTTGTTGTTAATCTGAACGATGCTGAAATTACTAGGGAGATACTGCAACGAAGAGTTTCAATCAACAGTCGTGAATCTTACGAAGCTTTGAAATCAGCTATGAGATCTTTGTGTTGGGATAATATTGGAGTATTATTGCACTATGGACCTGCAGCTCAAGACAGGAGAGATCTTTTTATTGCTGAATTATCTTACAATATGAAAGGTCCAAAGCCAAATTTAGGATTTGTCAATCAGTTTATTGAAAGATTGATCTATTGGAATGTTATCGATTATGAGCTCTTAACACTTTTCCATGCTATATTTGAGAATGGCACTGTAAGCGTTGTAGAAATGTTTCTTAATAATAACATTGACATTTACGTAAAAGACAGATTTAACCTTAATCTATTAATTTACGTTTGTGGCAATCCAAATCCAGACGTGATCAAATTGTTACACAAGAGACCTGTGAATATCAATGCTCTCAACAGCGAAAATATAACTGGACTACACCTAGCAGTCAGGAAAAATTTGATTAAAAACGTTCAGTATTTGCTTGACATGGGTGCTGATCCAGACATTCCAAACGGCCAAAACATAACTCCACTCTTTGATGCTTGCTCAATGACAGTTAAAAATCCCGAAATTATCAATCTCCTATTGCACTACGACGCGAATGTTCAGCTTGTCGATCAAAACGGCCATACACTTATCCAAATACTAGCGGATTCGTTTGTAGTGCAAGAGTCAATTTTCGCTCATCTGGCCAAACTCAGTGCACAAGGCGAAATCATTAGAGAAGTCGTGATAAAGGAAATTGATTCTTGTGATAGATTTCAGAATTTGTACAGCTTGTGTTGTTGGCAGATCGATCAAACGAGAAATTGGTTAGTCGCAAAAAATCTGAGTGTTTTTACTGTTCTTGTGACGCGTGCTAAGGATACAATAACTAGTTTACGCCAAAAAAATATCGTCACGGCGCTTTTGAATTTTGGCTCGAAACAACAGTTACATTGGTATTATATATCAATAATAAAGAGGAAATTGGAAAGATCTACCGAGTTGACTGATTTGCATAGAAAAGTGGCTCGCATTGTCGCTGAGTGCAGTGAGCTGTTCGAGTACAATTACGATGCCGTGGAAAAAATCATGAGTTTTTTAACGTATCAAGATTTAATACGTTTTGTATAAACCAATTTATTTATTCCGCTACGCACAGGTAGTGAATGTTTGTATCTTGCTTATGATTGATAAAAAAAGTTTGCTTTCCACAATTATAAAAAAAAATACTAGCGATCTTAATTTTTATGTCTCATATTCTGTGAATATAAGAGTTCTAATTTACTATGAAAATCTTAAGATTTTATACAAAAATATATTATTATTAATATATTATCAGCAATAATGTTTCGACAAATACATATGCGTAAATAAAGTTATTCGAACATTGAATCGCAGTCGTCTGCCAACAGTTTGCATGTATTGAAAAATACTTCCGAAAGTCTCATTCCTAATCTGTCGCTTAATCCCTTTCAGAACCAGTGTTTCGCAAACAGATTTAATAAAGTTTGTGAGCATCGGCAGTACGATCGCGATACAATTCTGTTAGGGATCTTAATTACCGAACAGAAGGTAAGGCGGTGAGTAGTGTGTTCAAAGCCATCCTGATGATTCGAGCAGTTGACATGGCCGTAGGTGCTACTAGCAGTAACGGTGTCCTATTTGTTCACCAGAGCGATCTTGATGCTTTTTGAATAATCCTTTTGTAAGACAACATTGCGCTGGTACTCGATATGTAAGTTTTTCTTTTCTACTCATTCAATTTCAATTTGCTTTTAGTTTCAATTCTACCTGATAAACATTGGCCGGAGCAGATAACCTGCAATCAAGATTCTATGTACCTGTTAATAATTTATGACATTTGCAATTAAAATCTGTATGTTAGACTGTGGCAAATGGATTTTTTCAGGTCCGTGATGAATCATTTTATAAGCAAATTTTTCGTAGGTTCAAAACAGCCTTCATCAAAGCAGCGACAATGAGTTGGCAATGGAGAAAACTATTTGACACTGTGCACGCGAATAATGTCGAATTACTCGATGCGATGCTCAACGCTGACGGTTGGCCGATGGACACATCGTGCACCGACTTCGAGCTACTGATTTTGGCGACGAAACTCGGACGTAAAAAAATCGTGCACTATCTCCTTGACAAAAATTGCCGCGTGTATTTCGGTTCTGGACACAACACGCCATTGCACTATGCAGTTCGCCACCGCAATTGGAATGATGTGATCGAACGTTTGCTGGCGAAAGGTCTTCGCATGAGCGATACCAACCGCTCTGGTAAGACTGCTCTTCACGTGGCTTTCAAACTTAATGTCGGGGGCGAGCAAATCGATTATCTGATGCAGCATTACCTAAACAACACCGAGAACAATATCGTCAGTAATGATGGGCTTAGCACTTTGCATATTGCTTGCTCGAGACCCAATGCGCAGATAGTCGAGAGATTGATCCTATCTGATTATAGACTTATCGATCAGGCTGTAAGTGCGATTTCAAAGCAATTTTTTTTATTTGCCCGTGGTAGGTTTTTTACTCAATTGCTCAATTGTTGTCAGGTTGACGTAACTATGCGCACACCTTTGCACTATGCTGTCGGCGCAAGAAGACACCAGGTAGTCAGCATTCTTCTCTATTATGGAGCTAACATCTGCAAACAAGACTCGGAAGGATCAACCCCATTACATTGGGCTTTGTGGGTACGCGATGTAGAGATGATTAATTTGGTTTTGTCCTATGATACGCGCCAAGAGAATATCACCAACAAGTCAGTATAAAACAAATTTAATTTTTCGCCAAAAATGTTATTTAAACACTTCTATCCATTTTCAGATTTGGCCTGTCTCATTTCATGGTTTCGTGTGCCGGCAGCGACTTAAAAGTGGTCAAGGAGTACATACAGCAAATATGGATACGAAAAGTAATTACAATAGAGGAGGTAATGAAGTCGCAGATAAGTATACTCGGCAGTTACTCGGGATACACTCCTCTACATTTTGCCGTTGAATTTGGGTCGAACATTGCGATCGTTAGACTGTTGCTACAGCATGGGGCAGATTGTTGTAGGAATACTTGCTATCGAATCAGCCCGCATTACCTTGCTGCTTTGAAAGGCCACAAAGCGATTTACGAGCTGTTGATGCTGTATTGCTGTAACATAAGAAATTGAAAAAATTTTTTTGGGTGCTTTTTCACCTCGGCATAAACATTTTTTATAAAATATACTCTATTTGTTTTCGGCGTCGTAAGCATACGCACGCTTCGAGGCATATGATTCAGTAGAAAATACTGATGTTTCGGAAGGATTTTATGTTTTAGCTTTTCGACGGTAAATTATATGTACCCATTTATAAAGCTATTTCTGGTTTTTGTTACGTCTCTATACACGTAGTTATTGCCAAACTAAATTTATAACAGACAGTACGTATTATTTCATAGATATATTCGTATACTTTTTCTATTTTTTTACGATGTGTGACAGATTATAAATTTTTATACATTGGATAAAATTTTTTTTTTCAACTTGAATTTGCATTGAATTTATTCAACAATCTATGTGCCTCAGATCTTATATTACCTATAATTATTTTAGCTTCTAATAAAATAGTAGGGGAAGTATCCACTGCCCTAGACCTAGAAAGGAAGAGACAGGCAAGAGCCTGCATTACAAGTATTCTTTTAGCTATAACTACTTATACTATAGTACAATATTACTCAATAGAGATTATATCTCATTTAAATTTGCTAAAATATAATATGGGCATAATAGATTTGCATAAATGAACGAGGTCTTTACTGTTTATATTCGGAATAGATATTTATTTTTTCATTAGCATTGAATTTTCTGAAGAATTAATTATAGATATAATAAATTGAGTTTATCTCTAAGCATTTATCATTCAACTAATACTTGTATGTTGGTCATTCGATTGCATGATACTTCGGCACTCGAACACAACTTATGTATGTTATTAATCAACATTTTGTAGATTATACATTTAAATGATTCAAGCATCCAATTGTAATGTATGTAGATCGTATGTTTATTATAATTTTTTTTCGAAAATGTGCTAGATCATACTATTATTGCAGTTTTAATGACGACCTTTTAATGAGCAGGCTTTTCTGTGTAAATAGATATAGGGTTTTGCAGAAAGGGAATTATCAAGTTGTCGCAATTTGCGTCATCTATTCTATTGCGCAAGAAGAATATTATTGGCAATATTTTTTATTTCGACGTAATTAATCAAAAGCAGATTTTAAACAGTGTGCACTCATTGATATTCGCTTAAATCTGTGTGCATTGAAAAATAATCTTAAGAAAGGTAATTGCATGGTGTGTAAAAATTATCGTTTATAAGTTATAAAAAATATACGTTATTACGTACTATGTTTGTGCGCAGATAATCTGTTGGTGAGAAGTCGATTCTATAAGACAACAACTCTAATCTCATTGAACCCATTACAAAGAAAAATAAGGTAGGTATATAAAGGAATCTTAAAACACGACGAAAAAAAGTACAACACGTGCATCGTAATGTCAACGAAAAATGAAAATCAGCTTGCATATACGTTCGAGAAAAAGCGACCGCACGACATCGTCTCTAAATAAACAACCCATGAAGATATAAAGGCACTCTGGTTAGTAGTGGCAGTCTAGTCATTTACAGCTGAGTAACAGTGCAGGTACCTGAGACCGTGCTAATCCGAAAGTCGCCGAAGGGCGGAGCATGTCGCCCCGCCGTCTGGATATAATTTTACACACAATCATAAATGTTATCTGATGCCGCATTAGCATCGGTAAATAGCATCTTCTAATTGCAGTACTTTAAATATGAATAAAAATATAACGTCTATGAGAATTTCATAGATTATAATACAGCCATACACAAAAGTATTAGTGAATCAAGTTATTAATTCTGTGCAACGATAGTTTTAATTGTATCATTTTGTCTTTCTGCTCGCAACTGTTTGTCGATGAAATAAAAAAACGAAAGATTTTTGGACAAGACGCATAATTCATTGAGCATTAGTACTATTGGCAATGAACCTTAATGAAAAATTTTAAAAAATTGTAAAACGCAAGTGTAAAACATTACGAATCAGCTGCAAAAAAGGCTCACGTCGTGCTTGACGAAGACGCGCGCATGGCGTAACCGCTTCATACTGCCGTTTTCGAAGCTACAACCAGATTAACGAAAGTGATCGCCAAGTTGCTGCCTCGTTGGGGCAAGAATTGCTGATAAAAATTACAATGAAAACACGGTACTCTGTTTGGCTTTCAATTGTCCGCAACGATGACTGATTTGATGCTTCAAGAGCGTCCGATAAGATGTCCAAAAGTCGATATTGCTAATAACGATGGATTGAGATTTCTACATATCACTTGCGAAAAATCGGGACCGGATATTGTTGAGTTTGAAAGAGCCATTGATGAAAACAATGCCCATGTACACGTGCGCTCATATTTAAACTAATCTTTTTACAGGTGATTTTTTAATGTTGTTTTTTCAGTTTTAGGCTTTTGAATGTCTTTTAAACGAGAATGAACCTTTAATCTATTCAAAGAATGTGTCATTTATTGTAGACATATTCAATTGTGTAATATTGTTCGCACCGTTTCCGCTCTAAAAGCATATTTCCTCGTTCTTTTACCCGAAGACCTTAAATAACAATTTCCTACCATATTAGAGAGATAGAGAGAGAGAGAAAGAGAAAGTTACAGAAAGAGGGTGGGAGAGAGTAAAATAAAAATAGGGGTTACCCAGCTGACCTTAGGTAGCGTAACGTAAAGGGAGAAGTCACCTTAATTATTCTTTAATTATACTGCAAGGACCTAAGGAGGGCACAGTTTCTCCTATTTTCTTGCCATAACGCCTCGACTAGAGTCAGTCTTACTTGAGAATTCGAGGTGTGCAGTTCATCTTGATACTTCTAAGCCTACGTTGTGTACCTACCGTGAATTTCAAGGCAAAAAAAGTGTTTTTTTCAACGGATATTCTTAGAATCAAGAATAATAGTTGTTATTTACGAAGTAGCTGAATCGTTTGTCAAGTACAGGGCTTACGTTCATAAATAAGATTTTGATAGAACGACGCCACTGCGCTTGGCACTGAGATACCGAGACGTTTGGATAATTGACTTCCTTCGCGCTCAAGACAACCAGAAAAGGAATTTCGTGAATAAGTGAGTATAATTTTTTTTATAATAGAAATTCAGTATAACTTTTCTTAGACAACTTTTAGTAAATTATTACTGAATTTCCATTACAATGATATAAGGCAATTAAGCAAAAAGAATCGATGAATAGTATGTAAAATATATTCTATGAAATTGAATTTATTTATGTAGCTTCCATAATTTATCAGTCAATGCCAAAGATTGTAAAATAAGAAAACGAGCTTGTAAACATTAAATCCATCATTGTTTTTCTCGCAGCTATGGATCCTCGCATTTCAGCGTCCGCGGGTGGCAATCCTCGTCCTCCCCAAGCAGGCGTCGAACAAGCTCCCGCTCCACAGCCCAACACCCCAAGTGTGAACAATGAATCAGGCTGCAGTAAACTAAAGCGGGCAATAGAAATGATGCAACTGGAGAACGTAAAGAATCTGTTAGATTCTGGTGTGGATTGCTGTACTTTATTGGTTAATGGAATGACTTCACACGAGTTTGCCGAAGAATGTGGGTTCTTTCAAATTACCGAGATATTGAAAAAACACTGCGATATAATAAAAATGTGTCTGTATTGGAGATTAGATGAACCGGATTATGGTTCTCGGAGTAATCAGTACGAAAAACGGTTATTGCTTGATAGGGTAAGACAAGTTAAGCGCCTCCGAGAAATATACCATAATCCGAGTACTAGAACACTCAGAGGTATACCAAAAATATTGCACTACTGTAAATATTAAAAATTCATTTTTTATGCAATTTTAATCAATCGGGAAAAGTTTGTTTTAAATTTATAAAAAGTCAGTATTAACGCTCTTTGTCGACTACATCGGTGTAAAACATGTGAATTTTCAAATGCGAAATAGATTTCATTCATATTTATTAAAAACAAATCAAAGCGATTGAGTAGTTTTTCAATGCGTAAAATTTCTGTAATACGAATTAATTTCTAATTAGGAATGTTTTGAATATACCGATACATATACTTTTGTACATTTAGTTTAAGCTTTTGAATAAAGTTAATTTTTTTACATTATATCTTAGTTAAATTTTGATTTAAAAAACCTGTAATCATTCACCGATATATAATTAATTTTTAAATTCCAAGCGTTTTCAATTAGAAAATAGTACTTTGCTTCTCATCGAAGTTTCTGGAATGTCACCGTTATTGGAGGTCTATTCCACAGAGGCTTACCGACGCCGAGTCTCGTTATTGTCCTAAACCTCCCATCTCGACCGCTTTCTTTTATATTTATAATGTAAATACTTCCACTCGATGAGTTCGGTCCTATATAGGAAAACATGTTTAATAGGATCAAACAGGTGGAGCTCCCATGCTAATAATATTCCTCTTCTTTTTTCCAAAATTATAATTATCCAACATTTGCAAATTTAAAATTACCTCATTCATATTCAATTTCCATTATGTATTTTTTATTAATTTTTTAATACTAGAGAACCGGCATATCATATCAATAAAAACTGCCCTTTCGTACTGCGTAGCAAAAATTATTGAAGAGGAAACAATATACTAGCATATCAGTACGTGCCATCTCAAAAGTGGTGAGAGTCTCGTGCCAGTTGCCAATAGTTTATATTTATAACTGTGTAATATTTTTATGAATATATAATTTTGATATTTAGTCTAATCATCAAAATCTGGAATACGACAGTAAATTCGTGATACGTCAAAATATTTTTTATCCTTAGTTTGTGCGGACATTATACCTTGATCTGAGTCATAATGTATGCTATGATGATACCATGCTTATAGTAAATTACTTTATTAAATGTTAAGTTATTTTTGTAATTGAGTAGACTTTAAATAACGAGTTATTCTTTTCTTTTCTTCGCGGAATGTCCTAGCATTCGATGAAAAATTGTCTTTTGATAATATCAGTGAATCACAGCCATTATATAACTTATCTACGGAAATGTACTCATAATCTTTATTTCCGGTATTAATTGATTGCTATTGATTTTGCGGAGGAACGAAATGTTCTGATAAGATTAATAATTTTCAAAGTCAAAGCCGATGATTTTTGTATGATTCATTTATATGATCTTCGACGATGATTAATTATTAATCATCTCGATGGCGCTTTTCAAGATTAGAAATTGCTCGATAATACTTACTAAATCAGAAGTGAGTATAAGTAAAAGTACTATCCGAAAATTTATATTAGTTTTGAATTTATTTCTATTTTTACTGATTATTTTTAGCCTTTTTATATCAAGAAAACCTGTAGTACGTGATTAATACCTAATGCTAATCAAGCTAAAAATTTTTTCGTTATTGTGAATAATTAATTATTTTTTCTATTAAACATATTTTGTAACATATTTTTTTTCTATTTTAAAAAAGTAGAAGACAATAATTCAACATATATGTAGCTCCTATAAACTATAATTAAGCCAGTAATAAATTTTCTAAAAAAAGATTATTATTGTTATTAAATTAATAAAGAAAAATAAATTTAAAAAAGTAGTCAGTATCGACGAATCTATCTATGAAATTTAAAAAAAATAATAGAATAAAAATCAATAGTCGTAAAAACAGCTGAAACGCACAGAAATCAGGAATAGAAATTCACAATGATCATTCTCAATTCTTTCATCCGTGCGCGACATTAACAAAATGCAACTAGTTTACATAATCAGAATAAAAGTAAAATAGTTTACCGGAACTGATTTGAATATGTTCAAACCCAAGCTCAAGGTTCATTGTCATTCCTCGCGCTGACATAACATACACCACACTTCTCTCTCTCTCTCTCTCTCTCTCTCTCTCTCTCTCTCTCTCTCTCTCTCTCTCTCTCTCTCTCTCTCTCTCTCTCTCTCTCGACGTAATCTGCGTAGCGGTGAATTGTCGCGTGTATAGTCAAATGAGTATAAACGAGCTCTTCCTCCAGTATAACGTGTGTCTTCGCGCGCACGACGTAATTATAGTTGCTTGCTCCAGTCATTATTGTACCCCCGTCACTAACAATCTGCAGTGACGACGTTCATCAGCGCCGCGTAGGTAATTGATATTCGCAATATATTCTCTTTTCCTATTTTCATTCGCATTTTTTTTGAGCTCACTACGACTTCACCTCTTCGACCTTCTTTTGTGCCCGACTATTTGCCGATGACTCATTACACGCCGAGTTTTTCATTGATAGTAGCAGCGACAAGGAAATGGATTGTGCAGCGATATTTTTTCTTGTAATATTCAATTCGAATTTATAATTTTGCACAGATTTACAAATTGTAAGCGAATTAAATCCATATTTTTCAAGTAGCGACTTTTCCGTGTTTAATTAATTAAAAAAATCATTATCTGTTACACTTTTTCAATCGATCGATTGAAAATAAATGTTTTCCTCGGTTAAAAAAAAGGCAAGATACCAATTCCGCATTGTTACGCTGCAGTTGAAACTTTTGCTGATGAGGAGTGTAAATGACGTAATTGAGCAGATGTACCGGGAATTCATACTATATCGCATCAAGATAATGTTTCAATGAGAATCAACGTTGTTTAAATGAATTATTTCTTGTTGTTGAACGAAATATCGATCGAAACAAAGCGTATTAAATCTATATTCCATCAAAAACGTCGTATAGTGTAATCAAATAGCTGATAGGAAACAATTAAGTCCTGCTAATGATCCAAAGATAATCATTCATGCTAAATAAAATTGTCATAATTACATATTATATGTCTAAGTTATAAATATAATTATATTACTATGAAATATTTTCTACCAAATGAAAAATATTCTCAGTTTGATACGCCACATTCGTATAATCAGTCACTGCTACAGATTCATCTTAAAGCTGATATGACATTAATTGATACAGTTTGAAAAATATTTGCTTTTGCGTATCTGATTTTTCAAAATAAGAACATAAAGTTGAAAGCACATTATTAATATTACGATTACCTGTAGTTGAAAATTAATTTTAAAAAGTCACGATATTCTTGAATAAATTCTGATCATTAGGATGTCGTCGGAAAGAGGAAATATTCTCCTGCTGGCATTCACTTTCTACTTGATTTCTCGTCATTGTACATCTGCCCGCATCTTATCACAATGCGACGCCACTAAAGAGTTGATAAAAGCGGGAATTCAGCGAACTTTCATCAGCAACTTCGTGTGCGTAATGAAGACCGAGAGTAATTTCAACACTGCAAAGAAAATTGGTCCGGGCCACAAGGCATCCTACTCCTACGGGATTTTTCAAATCAGCAGCGACAAATGGTGCAGTGCTTACCGTCCTGGTGGCATTTGCAATAAACACTGCAATGATTTTCTCGATGACGATATTCAAGACGACATCGTATGCGCTAAAACCATCTTCGAGATAGAAGGATTTAAACATTGGACTGGATGGGTGAAAGGTTGTAAGAATGGGAGTTTACCTCCTGTCTCTGGATGCATTGTTAAGAGGTTTGTAGAAGAATTGCTCTTTTCGGATAATAACGAGATGCCGATTTACCTCTATCGAAGATGAGAATTGTTGAAAGAAGAAATCATGTTGAATCTGCAAAAGTTTTCCAAATGTAAAGTTTAGGTGAGCAGAAATCATATTATAAGTATGATGAGTATCGCAAGCTTGTTAATTTTATCTGTTTTTAATAAAGTAACTTGATAATTACTTTATATTTGTGTGCTAATTATTATTTTTATATGGATAACTTTAAGTTGAATTTTTCCTAAAAAATTAAAAAATTTATATTAATATTATGATCGAGAGTGAACTTTATATGAGACAAGAATCTTCTTTCCCGGATTAGTTAGGTAATAGTATAACATTTCCGCACGAGCTTTTGTGCGGAAAGTATCTCATCATCGCGTTTGGCCAGAGTTATTTTTGGATGTTCAATTTTGCAGTTCGAAAAATAATGATTTTAAAAGTTTTAAATAACAGTTATTCCTTGATGGATTATCTAGAAAAAAGTCAGTAAATGCATCTTTCCAAACAGATCAGTTTATTTGTTACTTATACTTTTAGCGCGTGCTATGTGTGTGTGTGTGTGTGTGTTTATATCCTTTCACAGTTGTTTTGTTGCGTAATGTACTATAAAGTTATTTGATTGAAGTAATTGAATTAAACCGTATTACATGATCTTCTGCAATGACTCATAAGAGACTATGAATGGTATTGCTAAATCTTACTCCACGACAGCAATCAGATACTTCTTCCAGTAATTCACGATTTCAACTTATATCTTATATTATCTCCATTAATGTTCTCAAGTAGCCGTAAGGCCGACTTCCGCTACGTCAGAGACTGAATCACTAAAATTACCAAATTTTAATGAAGTAATTAAAACTAATTCAATTCATTCGATTGATTACTTAGGTACGGTTTTATCGGGCATGTTTTGTCAGCGGAAGCAAAACAGTCGAGAACTAATTTAACTTGCCCTACTCTTCATAGTAAAATTTAATTACGGTAAATGTTAGTTGCATCTTGCTCTTTAAATACATAAGTATTGTTTCAGTCGAAACAGTTCAATTTGAAAAAAATATATCCCAAAATCTACACAAAATACATTTTCCATAGAATGGCATCAGTGGGAGTAACTTTCTCGTTCTTGTTACTTTCATGTTACATATATAGCTATGTATAGCTTACCGCAAAATCTACGCACGCACATTAACAGAAGATGAATTCGCACAGCAGCTGCTTAGAAATAATATTAGTGCAACCTTCATCAGTAACTTGGTATGTATGAGATAAAGCACGAAGGTTATATCGTTACGTACACCATTTAGCAAAATTTTTTAAAGATCGTTTAAATCAGTAGTGTCGATAACCATTGGTGCAGTGCTTACCGCCTAGAAGGTATATGCGTTGAAGATCATCAAAATTTCTTCGATGATGATCTTATGGATGACATCAAAAATCCCATGAAAATATTCGAACGAGCCTGACTTCGACATTGGACGGAATGGAATAAACATTGCAGAGATCAATCAAACTTACCCAGTGTATTGAAATATTTGAACAATTACCACGTCAGGTTAATCAGCAAGCAACTTTATAAGACAGATGATCAAGATGAAGCTCCGCAGCTTCGAACAAACGGAGCTATTTTCTTCAAATATTCATAAAGTAATGATTATTGACGATTGAGATATTCGATATTACATTATTTTTTATACCAAATATGATCAATATTCAATAAAGATCATTTTATCAGCAAAATTATATTTTTATTATTTATTTTTTGCAATATAATACAAAAATTCCTTTATTTGAATTGAGCGATGAAATCCAACACGCGAGCAATGAAAACAACATTAATCAGTGTTTATAATAGCACTACGTTAGTGCTTTATTCTAATAAAAATTAATTTAAACGAAGTGGTTTAATGATGAGCAAATTACTTGAGACTATGATTTTATTTGAGAAAAATGAATGAAGTACAAGTCATCTATCACACAAAGGACGGACTACATCTACTATCGCTATAACTAAGGGTGTAGAAACTCATGGAAGATTCTTAGAGGACTGATTTTGACTGACGCAGCAGTCGCATGAGCTTTGCTCCCTTGTCTTAAAGAATATTGGAAAGTGATAGAAAAGCCGAAAACAAGTATCAGCTAATATCAATTCAAATGTAAATGAGTGTTAGGTTACGAAAAGCCATAACGCGCCATGCATTTAGCATAACCACGGCACTCGAAAGGCGATCTACAGATAAATAAGATTTCGAGTAGACTGTAAAATTCAAAAAGCCGAGTTAGAAAACTGTCGCATTCTGTAGAATAATTATAATCATGTTGATACTTCTTAAATTGATATTTCCGACTAATATATTTAACGATTGATGCAATCTATTACATAAAAAAATATGTCACTTATCACTAAAACTCATGAAAGTATAATTGAAAGTATATTTAAAATAAAAATTTAAGTTGATAAAAGCAGTAGAAAAATAATTAATCTACTCGATGATTTAATGATAATGTTATCCGTTCAATTTTTTACGTTAATGATATATTCTTTGTAATCTGAAAAAAAAGTTATCATTGATGGTAACATTTTATTACTTGTTAAAATTTACGCAGCTCGCATGTACGGGTGTAATATTTTAATTCTTATACTTTATGATGCTTTATGATAGTTGAGATGATTCATAATTATTTCTGCAATTTCCCGTTTGCGTATTTATAAAAATATAGCTGAAAAGCATAATGCTTCATCGGGTTTTTTATTGCCTCGCTAAATACTATCACTATCAAAAGTATTCATAACCTATCAAACAGATATATCGTTACATAATAATGAATTAAATTCAATAACCACGAGGATGGGTTAAAAAATTTGTCATGCTAACTAAAGTCAAGGATCTAATCAATATAATATTTATTATCTGTACAAACCATATCTTTATCTCAAAGATTAATCAAGTATATAAGTATAAGTCATCTTTGATATAACTATCCAAAACAACGTGTGTGAAGCCGAAATTTAAGCGCGCGTCATTCGCGGACTATGTGTGAATTTTGTGTAACTTCAGTTAAATAGTTGTATAGACAAATCGTAACAGTAAGTCTTCAATGTTTGTATTATTTATTTATTCATAGCTTGTATTGATAAAAATTACTCAACTGCAGTTTCATATTCTGAATTAACACTTGTATATGTACCTTATTAAAATCACGTGTAAAAAAATACATAAGAACCACAAGGTCTCCATAAAATAATTGGAATAAATAAGGATAGTGTGAGGTGATAATTATTGATTACGTGATGTTATTTTATTCCAAAAAGGAATAACATAATATTTTTAAACTAAGTTATTTTCGAATATCTATACGAGTTGCTGCATATCGTAAATTAATAAATGTATTATATTATCAAATATATAATAAGAAGTACCTAATTATTAATTAGTTATTATTAAACATTACTTACCATTCGAAAAATGTTCTTTTATTTGCTGTATAATTGAAAATAATTCTCAAATTAAGAAATTAACTTCATTATTAAAGTTAATTAAGAAACGAAAAAGTTATCTATTTAAAAACGAAATTTATTATTTTAAGAAAAGTTACTTGAACTTAAGAAGATTATAATTTTATCTTAGACTATTTTTTAACGTTAAGAAGACAATAAAAAAGAGTGTCAACACAATGTTAAGCTTACTGTGTATAAAAACTGTCTCATCTTTTGTTACTTTGGCAAGATGGCGTTGGTAGGCTACAAAAATAACATGGCTACTGACTCTGATCCCACAACAATGGAAGACTTTTTTTAAAATCAATTCAGAATTGAAACAGTTGTGAAAATTGAACTAGTTACAGAATTGAATATTATAAATAATTTATATTTTTTAATTGCACTAAAATACATATTTTTTTATACTTGCACTATATTTTGAAATTTCATACCGTTAATGTTAATTTAGCTAGTGATTAAAACTGCCATTCAGAAGTCGGGGAGAAATTTCTAAACTTTTTTCGCAGCTCCAGCTGATTTTGTTAACTGCACTCTTTTTTATAGCCTTCATGTTTATCATGTGATACCAAAACACTGGCATTGCAAATAATGGGCGTAACTTAAATATGATAATTGAAATTGAAAAAATGTAAAATGGTGAAAGTAAAAATTGACTAATAAATATGAAATTGACAGAATGGTCTCAACAAAACTCAAGATCATAATGATGACAGTCTCGTGCTTTTTGATTTACTACCGACCAATTTCTGCACGAATATTTCACCAATGTGAAGCGGTCAAGGAATTACTGAGAGCTGGGATTCCACGAAGCTTTATCAGTAATTTCGTGTGCGTAATGCAAAGTATGAGCAACTTTAATACGAGCAAGAAGACGGGCCCTGGTCACAAGGCTTCATTTTCGTACGGTATCTTTCAGATTAGCAGTGATGAGTGGTGTAATGCTTGGAGACCTGGTGGTTATTGTAATAAAACCTGCACTGATTTTCTGGACAATGATATTAAAGATGACATAGTTTGCGCTGAAAAAATCTGGAAGATGAGAGGATTCAAGCATTGGAATGGTTGGGTAAAACATTGCAAAAATAAAAAATTGCCAAATGTGTCTCAGTGTATGGAAATGTCAAAATTTCAGGAGCACGACGCGGTAGTTGATTTGATAACAGAGATGACAGCTACCCGTGGCTTGAGGCTAAGTTACTGTCAATATGCAGCATTTATGAATAGCTTCATATGAATCTGATATGATTCATCATTGACATTTGTAAAAGAAAACTTAAATACAGGGTATTGAGAATAGCGAGGCACGTTAAATTAAGAGATATGCGGCAAACGCGGAAGTCAATAAAAGTCGAAATAAATAGCAATTGCGACAGTTTAATTTCAAAGTCTGAGGTTTAAATTGACGTATTGTGTTGCGCCTGAGAGAGAATGTCGACGCTGCCGACTTGTGCGCGAAACTCGGAGAAAAGATCCGCGAGGAAAAGCGAATTTTCAAGAGCGGGGGGTGCACAGACAAAATTGAGCGTCAATACTCTCGGACCAGGTCGGTGCTGACACCTATCGGTCATCAATATCATCACCAGAGCCACTAGTAGTCACAGGTCGGGAACCACGGTGCTGTGCGCGCGCACCACTCTTCAAATTTACAAGCTCTAGTGGGAGACATCCTGAGGGACCGGCGCGTTCGAAATTCAGGTGCTCTATCCTCTCTTCCGGGCGCTGTTGATCTGAGTCAGCTCACTAGGTAGACACATGCCTGTCTAAACGTGCTCTGCATCCATTCGCACGCAGATCGTCGGGATCTCATAACTCTCCTGTAATAAAGTTCTAAACAAGTAATGTATATTCAAATTTTCGATTTAAAGTTGTAATGAATATTTTTATTTTCATGTCAGAGAAAGTTTCTTATTATTATAAAATCGTAATCGTTTATAAATATATGTGATCTGCTCCCGCCTTAGTTCTTTTTATTTTATAATAATCCAATTTGAATACGCGTGAGGTTAGTTTACGAAAACGATAAATAAAACTTAATCTCCTGCAACGCCGCTATGCTACGACCGCCGGCGACGAAAGAAATGGGCAGCATACACACTTGAAATTCTCCTCGAAAGATCTGTCAGTATAGTTGTCATGAATTTAATTTAAATATGAATATTGAATAATTTAATTATATTAACCTCAAAATAAAAAGCGAATGATATCCTGTTGGAGAAATTGAATTATTTTCAGAAAACGGTCGATAAACAAGTTTTATCATTTTAATTATTGACATAATAAAATGTAAATATACAAGATCTGATAATGCTACTAAACTAATTTACGAAACGTCGCTTATTTTCATTTCAGTAAATCAAGTTGATTACTTGTAATTCCAACTTACATTAGTTATTTAAACATTTAAATGTATTGAAAAAACAAACCAGTCGATTACAAATTAACCTCTGCGAAAATTTTGAAATACCCGGTGTATGATATTTTACGTACCTCGTCTTGTCTACCTATTTTTATTACTTGGATAATTTTGATATATTATCACGGAGATCAGTAGGTTCCAATTTTATAATCGGAACTTATTAATCTCCAGATAAAAAGTAATTTAATTTCTTGTACCACGTGCACAGCGAAGTTTCTGTTCAGATTTCTTATCAGCAAAATATTTATCGAGACAATAAATAGCCGAGCGCTGTTTGATTGACTTTATTCTGGTGCTTGTCCTAGTCAGAACTAGTTTTTAGTTACGATGATAACGTAAGTAATATATTATAGGCTTTATCATTATCAATAATTCTCATTACTTCCATTATTAGTTTATAGTTTATAATGTTTATATGACTTTCCAACTTTTTTCAACAAATCTCATAATAAAAAACTGAGTTCGTTTTATACAAATCTTGATTGTACACGACTTTAAATTTTATTTATTTAACATAATGGTTTTTTACTTGAACAAAAAAACATAAAATAGTATTTATTAGAAAAGAAGATACTATTAAACATGTAAACTAAAATTTGATTGGAAAATGGCTGGGTCAAAATATTCTATATAAAATATTTTTCTAAGAATCAATACCTATTAAAAAAAATTATATAAGATTTTGTCCATCATTAATCAAAAAATGCACGATTATGGCCTGTAGACATTTTTATATCAATTAATTTTATGTTAATTTTTCTGCAGTAAGATATAATGTAAGATAATATTTCATTTTTTGTGTTCAATATCAAAGCTATATTAAATACTGTTATGCTTCTTACTCTTCTTTCAACAAGCTTCCACCGTGATTTTAACCAAATGCCAAGCTGCCAGAGAACTAGGAAGAGAAGGAGTGATTGATAGAACTTTTATCAGTCAATTCGTGTGCTTGTTGCAGTACGATGGTGACTTCAATACAAGCAAGATTTCTACACCAGGTACTCAATCAACTCGCATGTTCGGCGTCTTTCAGATCAGAAGTAGTAAATATTGTTCATTAAGCGGAAATGGAGGACTTTGCAAGAAAAACTGCAATAATTTCATCGATGTTAAATTAAAGGATGACATGATTTGTGCCCAAACCATTTTCAAAACAGAAGGATTGAAATATTAGAAGAACTGGCAAAATATGTGTAAAAACAAGCAGTACAATATATCAAAATGCAAATTTACGATTAATTCTGGCGAGAAGGAAGATTATGGAAAAGTTGAGGAAGACGACTTCGATGTGATCCAAGAAGATAATATCGACGCGTTTGATCAAATGGTAATAAAGTTTAGAAAGGCAAATATCAAAATATGATTTTTTACAAAATAAACACTATTTTCTTTGTTATTAATTTTGAACATATACATTTTATCTGTGAATAAAGGCACCTATTACTGATAATAGTTTTTATATTAATTTATTTCATACATATCTTTGAATATCCTTTTCTTCAATGTTATGTACATAAAAAATAGATATAATAATCAAACAGTTATATTTTAACAATTCTCAATTTTAACAATACTCAAAGAAATTAATTCAAATATTTATTCAAGATGGTAGAGACAAAAAACTGTAGATATGTACTGCTCGTTCGTGGCTTTCACCAACTGCTTGTTTTCTTGTTTTCTTCGCTCTCGATCGCTTTTCATTATTGTTTAACAAATATATAATTTGGCAACTAGCTATGCAATTCAATAAACCATAGTAACTGAACAATTAATATATAACTCGAAACAAAAAATCTTATTCAAAGAATTCCTTTGGCGCCGTCCATACGATATTTTGAAATAACCTTGCCCCGTAATCCTCTTTTTTATCAATAGAGGGAAACATTCCAGTCCTATTAGCCATTTTCTTATTGTGCGGTTCCCGTACATCTGCGGAACTTTTGGCCAAAACAGAATAACAATTTTTCTTTGTGATTTCAAGATCGACCGGTCAAATTTAAACAATTTTTAACACAGACTATGATGAAAAAATCAAAATAGGTAATAATTACACTGAAATTTATCATATAAACTATTTAACACTGCTCTAAACAACTGGATTGAACGATCGAGTTTTTAATTTGTAACTTACACTATTTGGATACAAAAAGTATGCAAGTTGTAAGATGAAGTCCGTCTAATAATTTAAATTTAAATTAAAAAAAAATTAGTTTTACTGCAATGAAAACCTTTTTATTGCTAATTTATTGATTAAAACATACGATCTTGATTCACAAATAAAAAAAGTTGTGATCCTCAGGACAGCTAATTTGATGAAATTATTACTTGATTAATGATCTCCTAAAGTTGGTTAAATGCATGTCTGAACTAGTAGCAACCTGTCGGACGGAAACGGCTTATCAAAATTGTTCTATACCCTAATTTCAATTATCGCGTGTGCTTTATCAGCGCGATACCTGACTATAAAGATTCTGCTCTTCAGTTGGGAATCACAGTCACAGTTAATGTCACAGCTGCAGTAATATGTGAAGCTGTACTTGGATAGTGATACCAGTTAATTGAACAGGAAATTAGATTGAAGGATGTTATTACTGAAAATTCCAATTACATTTTTAATATTATTCACTTACAATCAGTTTAGCTCGGCTAGAATTTTGAATACCTGCGAAGTCGCAAGAGAATTAGTGAGAGCTGGTATTTCACGAAGTTTCATCAATAATTTTGTATGTTTGATTCAAAATGAGAGCAATTTCAACACTAGTAAAAAGACCGGTCCAGGTCACAAGGCTTCATTTTCGTACGGTATTTTCCAGATTAGTAGTGATGAATGGTGTAACGCTTGGAGACCTGGCGGATATTGCAACAAAACTTGCATCGACTTTCTCGATAACGATATTAAGGACGATATAGTCTGTGCTGAAAAAATTTGGAAAATGAGAGGATTCAAGTACTGGAAAAGTTGGGAGAAAAAGTGTAAGAATAACAAGTTATCTGACGTGTCTTGGTGTTTTGAAACTAAAGTGCTTAACAATAGAAATACACTTGAACAACGGATGGAAGATAATTTGTACATTATAAGAATACCTGACTGGAACGATTACGGGAGTGACTCGCAAATATTCAGACTTCATCCCTCAAATTTCAAGGGAATGTTAATGTAGAAGCATGCTAAGATTAGTAGCGATATACATTTATATTGATTCATAAGTAAAACTTTTTATTTATATTTTATTGTTATAATGTTTAGAGATTATGCCACTGTCACTAGTGAACATTTTCATTTAGTACTTCGACTGACATTAGTAGATAAAAAATTATTTCTATTTAGCTTCTAACTGTATAGGCAACAAAGCGATAATAATTGCTTGTACTAATGATACAATTAATGATACAATAAAGATTCTTATTTTTTATAAATAAAAGTTGTGATACGTCTTATTATTTTTTTCTCGAATTCAAGTTTCTCCTGTCCTTTGTACCCTTATAAAGAATTATTCGTAATATTAATATTAGGAATTAATACTTTTCAAACAAAGCTCATTTGGTTTTACAAGTGTATTTAATATTGCTATGAAATAAAAAATACAATTTTAGAATTGTTACTGTGAAAAAAGCATTTTGGTAATTACTTCAATCTTTTTTCTTTATACTACATGGTTACACATATTCACATTGTTACAAATAATTATTAGAAAGTAATTGAAAAGTTGATTATAAATTTGTATCGAAAAGCATGGATAACTTCTGATTTCCGGATGTTATTATCAGTTCTCTAATTTTATCAATTTAGTTTATTTTAAATTTTATTTTATTGTAACTTTCGTGTCATGTCCATAATTGACTCATTGTATCAATTCCGATCACTTATTGCAGCATTTTATTACAGAAGTTACGCGTAATTGAGCAAGTATATACATTGCAGCATACTTGCGCAAAAATTGGAAATGATTATCTTTTGATAATCTTACTTTGCTTTTGATGAAAGAAGAAACTTATCTTTTGATGTGTGAGTCGTTTGTCTTTTTCAGTAAACACCTTATTAAATCAATATTGAAGATTGTGAATACATCACGTTCGAAAGCTGATCGTTTGCTTGCTTGTTACAAAAGTGAATTTATAAACAATTTTTGACCATACACGAAAAAGCAACTGGAACAGGCAGTAATTTAATGAAAATCTCAAGTAATCGGAATAATTGAATATAGCACCCGTCACTTATCAGATTATCACACACACGCTCATGCTTAAAACTTGAAAGACTATGCATGCCTCTTATCATCGAAATGCCTTGGAATAAATAGCTTGGTGCGAACAAGCTTACTTCAATCTGACGTCTGCCTTAGCAAGAGCGTGTTTATATATTTTACTAGTTTCCTTAACATTGTTCACAGCCGTGTTCCCCGTCGCGATCGATGTAAGTTTCTCACCGATTTTCCATTCATTTTCGTTCTTTTGCTTTATCAGCTGGTTCGTTTCCTCGATCGTCCGGTCGTTATTGTAATTTACTCGTTGACGGGTCAATGTGTCGTTCGCTATAAATTTTCGCTAATAAAAATAGAATTCATGAAGTGTCGTTAATTTATGTGTATATTGTGTAAATTGAAACAATTTTATAATAAATTTGCCAATGTCGAGATATTATTTGCCTTTCATTAAATATTCGATATATATCGAGACGTGTAAGTGACGCAATTTCAAAAGTTTTAAACGTACATTAAACACTTTCTTAACTTTAGTTCTCTACTTATTTGATATTTTATAGATAATATTATCAGATAATGTGTTTAAGATCTTATAATTATTCTCTGGGCGCACAATATTTATCGAAACTTTGAAACCGATTTGTTTCTCGTTGAACATATGTTTCAATCAATGTATATAAAGAATAAATAATAATAATAAATATATATAAAGAAACAAATTGAACAGCTGTTTTTAATTATATTGTTTATATTGTAAAAGAATTTAAGAAAAATGTGAACCATTTTTATTAAATGAGTTTCAAAATTTTCGCTTTTATTTTATTAATTCTTACTTAAGAAATATATCTTGTATTTTTTTAAATAACATTAGTATTATTCCATAGTTATTTATGAAGGGCATACAAAAATAAAGTTTTATGTAAAGTGATTATAAGCTTAAATTTACTTGCTCATCACAATCGATCTTCGTTAACCATCATTTACTTTGAGAGATAATAGGATATCATTCTGTTCAACGAATTAGTCAAAAATATATTAGAAATATTTTTCTACTTTGATGAAATTCGAAATAAACGTATCATTACTAAATCGTTTTCCTTAACGTTATCTTTTGGGACTTAAATTTTCTTTCAGCAGGATGCTATCACACAAAAAAACAATCACACTATTGCTGCTTACGCACTACTTTTTATCCCATCAAGCAGTTTTCGCGCGTATCTTGACTAAATGTCAAGCTGCAAAAGAGTTGGCTACAGCTGGTACTGACCGAACATTCATCAGCAACTTCGTGTGTATCATGCAAAACGACGGTCAGTTCAACACCAGTTTGAAAACAGGTCCAGGTCACAAAGCTTCCTACTCCTATGGAATTTTTCAAATCAGTAGTGACGAGTGGTGTAGTGCATTCAGACCTGGTGGTATTTGTAATAAAAATTGTAATGACTTCCTCGATGATAATATTCAGGATGATATTGTTTGCGCTCAGAAGATTTTCAAACTCAGAGGATTTAAACACTGGAAAGGGTGGGTGAAAAAATGTAAAACTGGTGAATTACCCAACCTTACGACATGTAAGTATAGTAAGTATAAGCCGGATACTCCAGATGATGTAAACAATGAAAAATTTATCAAACCGAGAATGATTAAGTCAAGTAGTGTAAAAGATCTTAGCAACATGCAAACTTGAAAAAATTTTGTAAATGACTAATAATTTTTTCATACTTAACGTAGCAGTTTATATGGTCTTGAATCGAACAATGGTTTATACTTCATATATATAAAAGAAAATTTGGAAATGTTTCTTGTTGTAAAAACCTGACTATATGATACTGTATAGTTCCGATTTTCCATGAAAATATACGATTTATTTAATAAAACTGTTGCAAATACACTTATATATTTTATTTTACATATAAAATATTTTTGTTTATTTTGGTATTCTTTTGTATCCATTATTATATTCTTTAAAAATTTTGTTTATGTTAAATGCGACAATATAATAAAAATAATAATCCATAGGTATTCTTACTTATTATTCAATGAAAAACGTCCTGGCTATACTAAATCATATGTGTAGGTATGAAGTGGCAATAAGCAAGATAAAGCTAGTTAGACGCAGTTTAAGAAAAGAAGCTGCGAAAACAGTAACATTAGGGTGAAAAGCAAATAGATAAGATGCTAACCCGTGCATTATATTTAATTTACAAAGGTTTTCTAGAATCCTGAGAGAATGGAAGGATGATATTTTTAAAAATGATGAAAAAGAAGTTCAATGACTTTGACGAAAGTCTAAACTTTTGAAAAACATTTGCATTTGCTGTATGCAATATTTTACTATACAAAAACTGTGTAATTGTTATTAGATTTGAATTAAGTATACGTATTTGAATTAAGTATATAAATACCTATTCTAATGTTAAAGTCAAACGTCCACACTATTCAATAATTACAACCATTTTATAAAATATAATGTTTTCCACAAGTTTTTACACAATGACTGATTTTATTTGTGTATAGTAATTCTTTATTATTATTTTTAATTTGAATGCTCTTGATCAATTTACGAGCTTTTTAACATATATTATACGTTCAAAGTTATTACGCATAAAAAAAGTGAAACTGCCAACGAAAATAAAATAGTTGAGTTATTAGGTCAAAGATCCAAAATTCAATATTCGAAAGTAGATCTGCATAAAAATTCAGAGAAAACAATTTATATCAAAACAAAACATTATATTTAAACAACATCATACCTCTCAACAACACCATACCTCTCAACCGAGAGAGTTTGACATATTTTTCGATCATTGAGATACTTTTTTCACCTGCCATTCAAAAAGAAATTAGTCAATGTGAAAGTGGAACCAATGAAGTAAGAATCTCGAAAATTTACTTTAGTGTTATACGTTAAAAAATAGGTTTCTTGTTTAATTAACTCCAGTATATGTCAGCTGTTTTTCAAGACTATTATTTTGATTGAAATAGCTTTCGAATATAATAACGCTCACCTAAATCAAAATTAACTCTGTATTAAGAAACTGGTAATATACTGAAATAATGTCTTCTATTTTATAAAATCTCTTTAGCAAATTCTGATATAATCAGTATTAATCAAAATCAAATACGTCATAAATTGATCCAAAAAACAATGAACCTTCACATTGAATGTAAATTTATACTCTACATACATTATCAGAACTAACGAATGTTTTCTAAAATAATGCAAGATAGACCTTCCACTTTTGCATGACTTTCATAAGAAAAAAAAAAAAAGAAAACAATGGCAGAAAATATTGATGGACAAGAAAGGTTTCTTTAATGAAGAAAAAAGGATGAAAAGGTCATCAGTGAAAGTAGCCCTGTGCTGGACTTGAATAACAGTTCGATTTGGATACCCTCGGCGAAAGTACTTTATATCTTTTCGCTGCTCCTTTTCCTTAATATAGCTGCCAGCAAAAACCTAAATGAGATGATATGTGTGTGTGTGTGTGCGTGCGTGTGTGTGTGTTTCTTAAAGTGTGCACTTTCGAGAAACTTTTGTAGTTTACAAGCCATACTGATACCCGTAATTTTCATCAAAACCTTCAATTATTTTATAATTTGCAGATTTCTTATGTATCTGTTTGTTGTCTAAATAAATAAATATCCGATATGTAAGATATAGCTGTAATGTTATTTCTGCTAAGGAAATAAAATAATTTTATACAATGATCATCACATAATTGATGAATATTAGATAATTAAAAGTTAACATTCATCTTGAATTAAAATGAGAAAGAAATTTCAAACTAACATGTCAATAGGAAATCGTTAAAAAATCAAAATATTCGCAGGCATAAAATGTAACAATGCGTTGTACGCAAATGCACACTTATGATTCAAATGTATTCACTGACAATCGATCGGCTAGCATAACAAGATAAACTATATGATGTGACATTCAATATAAATTATGTTTAGTATATATATAAACTTCTCGTATCTCATGTGAAAAAATCGACGCGTAAATTTGTATAAATTTAAAACTATTGGTCCAAGCTAGGGGGGATTTAATACGCTATTCAGAAAATCATGGCAATTGCATAAGATGCTATGCAGTAAACACATAATTTCCTCGAAAAAATGTCGAAAACACAACAAAGTGTCGGCGAGAAATGTCAGTGGTCAAATTTGCATTTACTACGTTGGTTAGCATACCTAAGATAGTCGATCGACGCACGAATGCTGACCAACAGAGAAGATCCGTTGCGCAAGATTTGTTGGCAAAGTTCTTTTCATGTTTGTTAGTTTTTCTATCCAAACTTACGGAATATAATTGCGAAAGTGTGTTTGTGTATTTAAACACGCGACACGCGCTGATTTCATGTTTTCACCATCGTGATGCGAAGATGAATGGACATTCGTATTTTTTTTCTTTTTTTCGTTTCTACAACACGCACGTGCCCGTTGAATTAATGTGTTGGATATGAGACATGTATATGTGCCGATTGCGAGTTTTCGGTAATTAACTTTTTGATGATTTGCTACACTACGCGGTGTAGCTTTCCTTGCTACATTGCATTCTCTTTGTCGATGCGCGTATACGAATCGACAATTTCGTTTTATAATGGGTTTGTTGAATGTGATTTAACTGTATGACATACGTTATCTAAAAGATATGAAACTACTTGAGGTAAATAGTTTCAAGAGATAAATTAGAAAACAAAAATTATACTTACGTATAATATTTTTTAGCTTTTTTAAACTTAAATTCTACATTAAATATATTTTTCAAATTACTCGTTTTGTTTTACGAGTACCGTTGAACAGTTAAAAGGAAATTACAGATATAAAAAAAATGTGATTTGAAGCATTGAATCGTAAGGCAGTATAACTAATGAGACATTGATGATAATTTTATCATGCATAAAATCTGATCGCATGGTATTTATATGATCCATAGATGTAGGAAAAAAGGGAATCATTAAACTTGCATAACCGCGCACACACCGCACACACTGCACTTTCCTTCAGATTTTTCCATGTGAAGTATATATAATCTTCAATTTCGAGATATTACCCAACACAATCTCGTGCGCGCTGTAAATTCATTAGATTTGAGAAAAAATCAGAATGCATAAAAGATTCCGTTTTGTTTTGTTCTGTTTTTCAATACAATTGATGACACATCCATAGTCGTACATCTTGCGCAAGTTACTCCAGAGCAAAGAAGTACACACACTCATTGATGGCACTGAAAACCACATGATCCTTTTCACACAAAAGTGGCAAAGTGTTCCGATGAACGTGGTGTACGTAAAATTTATCCTTCGGATTTTTATATTTACGGCCGGCATGAGTTACGACTGTTTATGCAATTCGGTTGACTCTAGCAGTACGTTAAACTAACAAATAATCGATTCGCGCAATAGGATTGCTCTTTGAAATGTCTAATGACTAAAAGGAAAACCATTTACATTTCTGAAATTAAAACCTTGAATTGCCAATGCAATTCAAGAAAAGAACAATAACGAAGTTCACGTATAATCAAGAAAATTCAAAGCTTCACCGCGGAGTACGCAGTTATACATAGTGCTGTTTTACATAACAAGCAAATTAAAATTAAGGAAAAAAAGCAGGCTCTAACAATTCGCGCAAGCAAATATTTATGCACACGCGCACTCTTTTTCCCACGCGCTGAAAATGGCCATAACCGCTCGCTCGCTGGCGCACGATTGAGACGCGCGCGAAACGGAGTTGAACGCTTCTCGCTCTCTCGTCACGGAGAGAAAGAGACGCACTCGCAGATCCATTTGTATATACGTATTGAAGAAATATCCGTTTGATGAAATATCGTTACTCGTAAATTTTCAAATGGATTTTACCACGCAACCGAGTGTCGCAATTGCGATGCGAGGAAAAGTCGAACGGAATGTGGCGTTGTTTAATTCCTAACAAATTTCCCACTTCACTTTTCGCTATTACGATCCGCGTGACGACTCGTTCCGATGGGTAACTTCACGCGTTGATTAGATGACTCGCTCATCGATAAAGCTAGGCGTAACGTTAAAAAATGTGCATCACGCAAAACTTTTTCCAAACTCTATGTGTATGCGTGTACTTGTATCCGCCGTTGATTCGCGCTTTCTCTCCACCTCTTCCATCACGATGCCTACTCGCTCGCTTTATAACTATATCTCTTTGCTCTCAGTGTCGATATTTACGCTGCGTAATGTCAATTAATGAGCCGCTCCAAGCAATCAAGAATGAACACACGAATTCCGTATAACTTTATTAGGATAAGAAATATTGAGTTTTGATTTTGCAAACGTTTGATTTGCTCGTTTCAGTATTCAGTCGCAGTTGTGAAACTGAAGTTACATCGAATTTCGAATTCGTCAAGAGAGCCAATCACGTACATCGTCTATGTAGAAATGAGCAGTCACTTGTGCTATGAAAAAGGTACCACACTGTACACGCATCGACTTACGATCGAGCAGTAACTAACCGAAATTACCATTTATCATTCGATCTTGGCATCAACGGTTATGCAAAAGCAAAGTCATTATCAACGACGAATGCAAAAAAAAAAGAGTAATCATACGTTGTACACGCAGAAATTCAAACCCGCATAATTCTATACGGGTAAAAGTTCCCTCGTATAAAATGATAAAAAAAAAAAGTCGGGTCGCCGCTTGCATTTCTCCGATGCGACGCGCGCGTAAGACCGCACGTAACGCGAGAGATTCGCCGTCGCGCGCTCGGAGAATCTCACGATCGCACGCGCACACCCGATAAAACCGCGCGGCATGCGTATATATGCCTATTGCTATATACGCTCATACACCTTTCACTGGCGGAAGTAACGATGACCCGCAGCTCTCGAAAGTGAAGATTTAAGATGCGCGCACAACATTGCCAATTGTCGTATATATATAGATATGCGCACAACTTGGCTCTACTGTTGAATAAATTACTTTTTTTCATTGCCGGAAGCACTGAATGTGCATTTTTTTTATTTTAGTGCCTTG